ACTGGGCCTCTTCGGAAGTGAGGACAATCAGAGTCACCGAAGGGTATACCGGTAAATGGATCGAGCTCCAGGTCCGTCAGTTCGAGCCGCAGCCTGGCGACAGCCTATACAGAAAGTGGGTTTCCAAGAACGGCGAGGTTAAGCGAGCCGAAGTCCCGGCCTTTGCTATCGTCGACATGGAATCCGCCAAGACCTCGTTCAACGAGTACATCAAGCGGGCCCTGGGAAACTGCTGCACCTATCTGCTGCGCAAGGAAAGGCTCCTCCAACGTACATACTCTCTTGCCATTAAGATCATGAAGCACTCATCCACGCACGAAACCGAACGCAGGCTGATCAAGAGCACTCTCGATCTCTGGATGTCAGTAAGGCTGACAACCAAGTCGTTCGAGATCGTCGGGGAGGAGAGGCTAGGCATGCCGCAGGATATTATCGATGACCCGGACAGTCCTTTATGCGGCAAGATCCCGCTGCCCCCGGTTATGGGAGCGCAGATTGATTCCATCCTGATCCACCAGGTCCAGCCCCAACTTCGCCGAGACACGCTGGAGGAGCTGCAGAAGATGACCCAGGAGAAGAAGCAGAGAACATGGCTTACCACGTATCTGGTGACGTTTATCCTGTTACACAACATCGCCCTCATCACCAAACACGACGCAGATTACGCCAAAAAACACAACCTGGGGAGGCGATTTGCCAGGGAAGACAGCGTCAGAGAGTACAACATTGGTGAGTTACTTGGCTGCCTACCGACTTGACTTGCCCAAATTTCGATCTCCCCCGGAGCGGGGCAAATCTAGAACCAGAGTGTCACGGTGCTGTTTGGTTATTTTCTGTTCCGGGTTTCCTTGTTCGTGGTTATTGGGCCATGTGACCATGCGATGCATATTTGACAGGCACGTCATTGACTGATGAAACAAAAAACAGGGGCGAATACACTTCTCGCCTACTTCCACTATTGCAACCGGGCAATCTACCCATTCTCTGAGGAATGCAAGGATCCAGACCTCCAAAGCCTGGCGGAGCTTGACGGAGACGCCATGCGATTCGTGCGCGAGACACGGAATTTGGTAGCTGAACATAGTGAGTTGTACTCTTACAATGCTGCAGATACATTTATACCTACCTACCTTGCCCCAAATATCAAACATAGGACACATGGCGGATGCGAGTTGGAGGCTAACTTTTGTTTTTCCTCTTTTCCTGGAACAGAATCAGATTGGGAACAAGTGTTGGCGAGAGAAGAGTACGAGGACCAGTACTACTATGTCAGTCAGCTTTATGAGCCAAACTGGCAACCTCGAGTCATGACCTAGACTCTGGGATGGATGCTGGTGGTGATGGGGCTCTTGGCTGTGCTGGTTGGTAACTGACCCAACGAACGGGTGGTGGTCCATATGTTGTCGTGTGCTATCACGGTCCGTCGACGAGTTGGTTCCAAGTTTACAGGTCGTGTCGTCTGCAAGTGAGCGGAAGTAGAAAATTGAGGAGGCTGTCTCGATGCCATGGCTGGATAACTGGATATTTGTTGCAGCTGGGGGCTAGGCCAATACCAGAGAAAGCACGCAGCCCACATTACAATCGCATGCCGCAGAAGCAGGAGCAGGACCGGCGGTCGTTGCGGACACCCCCGTGTGAGTGTATTAGAGGGATGAAGATGAGGCGCATCGAGAGTAAAAGAGGGAAAGAGGTGGGACAGGGCAGCGTTTGGATTGTCCTGTCCTGGCACATCCCGGCCAAAAATCCCCCTCTCTCGGCCAAAGGACGCATCCGGTTGGGGGCGTGTTGCGTGCTGTTAAGTTGCTTGGTGTGTGTAAGGGATGAGTCAAGAGCAACAAACTAGGTTCCTTGGCCAGGAAGAGGACGACAGAACGCTGGATTTTGGCTCTTTTGCTGAGAGTGGAAGCAGGGAATAGGGCGAATGAATGTGTGTGTAAATAGGTATGGATTCGCATGATTCGTTCAGTTTGGTGTTTGTCCATATGGAAGCATATGGTTCAATAATTCACTTTGGAAGAATCGTTTCTTTGCATGACTCGAGATTCTCCGTCCAATCGTGTTGGCATGCTGTAGACAACAGAAGTGGAAGTTACATGCCTACCTAGGTTTAAAGAAATACTTGCTCTGTCTACACAAATGTTCAATCCAGTCAGTAATGACGGAAAGTGATTCGTCCTTTGCTATTGGTTGCTCGCAGGACTCGGTCTGCAACCTGGCACCTTCCTTGCCGCTGTGAGCTTCAGCGAATGCAGGCGCATCTGCGATGTGTGTCACCACTTGTCCAAAGACGGATGATTGCGCGATGACGGCGGATATATTTCTGGAGGTATGTATCAGACCTTGTGGGTGCCATTCGAGGCCTGCCACCCACGAGTACAGTGAAGAGAAATGCATGAAGCCGGCCAAGTAGTTTACATACCAAGTACCTAGATATAGGAAAGGGGGGTAGAGGTGGTCTGTCGGCTGAACAACCCGACATCAGGCGAACCAGGTGGGTGGGCCCGCTGTAGGATGACGGGGAATGCGGCGAGGATCGTCGGCTGTCGCTGTGAACATCCCCGTCAACATGATCCATGATGTTCCACCTTGGTAGTAACCCCGGCTCGCTGGGGTCACTTCATCACAGCTCAAAACGGCAAGAGAACCACTTTTCAGAACTACACAGAAAATGTTCTTCCCAAATGATAGGCTAGTGTCTTCTCTTTTGCCGCTTTACACTACCAATAGTGTAGTTTGCTAGCTATCTACGAACAACAATGCCTGGAGCCGGGATGAACGGAACAGATGGCATCTGCCTCAATCAAAGAGAGAAGGATGGATTGCCGTCTCAAGTGAGCGCAAGCAAGCACCGAGCACTCATGCATTCTCCCGATGAAGCTGTCAAGCTAAAGCACCTCTACGTACATCAAGCCAGATACAGGACTCGCTAAGTTGCAAATATTTGTTGAGGTTGTTTGCTACATGTCTCACCTTCAGTGCGGCTCCTTGCGGCGACGTTCATCGCATGTCTTATGTACTCTACCCCAGCAAGGCGGCGGGTCTGGGGTGGTGTGGGTGCACGGGGCGGGGCGGGGCGGAGCGGCCGGGCGGGGGCGGGTCGTTTCTCAGACCTCCAGTGGGTCCTTCCATCCTAGAGGTAACTTCCATCCCTGCCTTTTGATGCGCGATGCCATCCAGGCTTTGACGACTACCTACCTCCCTACCTACCTACCTACCGTCACCACATATCATGGCAGGTACTACCCATGCCTTGTTTGCACATTCCTCTGGTCTCTCCAAGCTCTAGCATCCGGCCAGGTAAGATTGAAGGAATCATTTTGCGGCCTCCAACTGAATCCCATCGACCATTTCTACATGTACACCATCCCCAAATTCTACCTCACTCGGATCTTGCCCCGAGATCCTGCCCATCCAATGAAGCCGACTCTTCGAGTAGACAGGGACATATCCCAGCTGGACTTCAAACGCCATCCTGTGAGCTGCAATTCTGCGTCTGAAGTCTTATCTGCTGTACGCCTGCCAGCCTACCGCTGCCACATCTCTCACACTATAGGTCCTGGGACCTTGCTGCTCTTAATTCAGTTCAAATCCTCGAAGACATGAACCCAGCTACCTGAATATCACCATTTCAAGTTGCTAGAGAGCAACTTTCACTGACAAAGTCAACTTACCAGCTGGTACGATCTCGCCGGTTACCTTACCCCCCTTTTTTTTTACCTCGGGAACTAGGTAAGCGAACTCGGGGGGGGGAAGTGTCTCCTATTTCTTGATGGTGTGAGCAGAAGCCGGTCCGCCGCGGCTTGGCCACGCAGTCGGCCGATTCAACATGGCAGAAGCACCGTACCGCTGTCACCACTGTGTATGCTTCGATACGGCTCCACGCAAGATTGCCCAGATTGGGCTAGGTAGCAAGACGGGCACCTACTATACATTGGACACTCACTCTTTCCTGCTGCTTCTAGACTGACTGCGCATGGCGAGCTGCTAGCCCAACAAGTTTCAATATGTTCAACGGAAAACGTCCCGGCCTCTTCCGCCATGGATCTCACCAACCTTCATGGGTAAAATTGGGTGAATCCAAAACGACACACGATCAACCAGGCACCGGTTGTCCGGACATGCCCGCGAGTCGTCTCTCATCCGTTGCTCATTGCCGACTACTCTTTGCGAAAACCTATGAGATGCGAGCCATAAGGCATAACTCGTGTCATCGGCTGTCTTCAACGGGCCCCTGCAGTGACCCGTTGATCTGTGATCGCACCCTGTACTAACTACTCAGACCTAGTCGTCACTCGGTCAGTTGTTAGGCCAACCACTCAACATACTCTCGCCTACTGTGTGTTTGCTGGTTTTCGGAAAGTGCGAGTGTGGACAACTTGGTCTTGCCGTCTTCACACCCATGAAGGCTGAAGACCAACGAAGATTGACGTGGATTCTCCAGATTCTGAACTGCAATGACGTCCTCCTTTGTTAGCCACGAAACAGAATTTGGTCACCGGTTGGCACAGGTTGACCAGACAGGCACCGTGAGTGACACCAAGTCCGGTTGCTGCCCATCTCAAACAAACGATCACACACCAACACTTGCACATCCTTTCTTTATGTACGATGCAGGATATGGTACAAATCATCCTTAATTTGATTTCCTTCATTTCGGCTCTCAGCCATCGTCCTCAATTCCACTTGGCCACTGGACAGCCCCAAGCTGAGGCACCAGCATTGTCCGGGTATCGTTCTTAACCTGTTACCTTCGGTGAGCCTTTGCTTTCAACCATCTCCCATATTACAGCCCTAGTTGAAGTTCGCTCAGTCTCGCTCAGCTGTATTTTGGGTCACACAAGTCACACAACATGGCGGGAAGGCAATGGTCATCAAGTCCCCTCCATGGTCCCTTCATTTTCTCCCTCCTCCGGGACTGACGCCGAGTCAAACCGACAGGTTCGACAACTGGTTGTCGGGACACTCAGTTTTCGTCCTCATTCTTTCCTTGTCTTTGTTTCTCACCGACCGTCAATCTGCACCCAGCTGGGTCTCTCTTGCTTCAAGTTTGGCGATGTGGCAACTCTGCGTAGCCGGACTTGCGAATCACCGTGCGGCAGCAAGTGTGCATCGTGTAGTTGTGTGTTCAGCTTGTCGCTCGGGCTGGCGCAACGACCGTAGAGATTCGGCTGTCGTGTGCATCGTGCCTGCTGGTCGAATTTGTTCTCGGCTCTTTTTCGAAGGCCCATCACAGTTTCCGCCGGCCCTGTGATGTGAGACGTTCTACTTCCGGCTCGCCACCATCGACTACTTACCTAAGTATGCTAAGGTAGGTACAGCTGGCAAGTGGAAACTCTTATCCGGTCCCCGGCGAACTCTTCCTAGCAATGTTTGACGTGATGATCACCTTTGCAATGCCTGTTCTTGCATGTCACTTACGCTACTTTGTTGGGGACATGAAGCCCGGCCCCGTCTTTACCGGGTACTCCTATATCTAGTGTATCGCCTCGGGAGAGAGCCGCCAGGGCCGGTTCCTGCACGGTCCCCGATTCCGGGCTACACATTACCATGTAGCCTAGAGTGCTCTAGTCACCTTGCTGACATGTATTGCTCTTCTTTTCTTCTTTTTGGGAATGTTTGCTACACCTGAGCTACAACAAACCTCAAACCCATGCAATTCCTATCTGGCGCTGCATGTCCTTTCCAGCTGAGCCTAGCCCTTCCGTCACCGCGGATGCCAGAAAGGTGCCATGTCACCACCGACCATGTCCTGTGGTGGCCCAGGACCGGGGATGGGACGCCACTTTCGACATCAACCCGTAGGGCTTTCCTTGTCCCGCAATATCCCCAACCATGGCTCTGGGTTTGATATCTAAACAAGAAGTTACAGTGATGCTTCTGTCCTATCTAGGCTCCATGTTGTTGTGTACTATCTACTTCCCCCAGGTTACCTCACCTATCGGCCACCCATGCCCAGCTCACTGACATCAACATGGTCATTAGGTAGGTACCTTGCACGACCCTCTTGCAGGGGAAACTGTACACTCCCTGTCAGCAACTTCTTTCTCTTTCATTTCTTAGCGGCAGCTTAGAGATCCACTGCTGTCTCCAATTCCGGCAAGTTTGACTTCGACACCAACTCATATACTGTGCTTGTGGCATGAACTCGACCTTGACAGCTTCACCGGCCTGCACTTATCCTTCTGGTTCACAACATGTCGTCGGCAAGAAGCATCACGTTGATCAACGGTACCGTTCGTACCTGCACCATCGTCGACGGAAGCCATGACGAGACTCGTGTCTCTTTCCGTATTCGAGTTCAGAAAATCCTCCTGTCAAGCTCCTAAGCGCTAGCGCAGTCGACCGAGTCGAGACTGGTTTCCTTTTCGTTGACCTGGCAAGAGGACTTCAAGTTTGACCCGGAGCTGCCTATGTGTTACGTCTATCCAAAAGCCAGTCCGGTTTTTTGATAAAAGGCCAGACATCTCCTCAATCTTTTCTTTGTGATCTTGTCAACCAGCCGATCTCACCTCAACTTAAAAGTGACTTTCCAGCTTTCCAAGGTCTCGACAATCCGAGTCCTTGCTTCAGTTCATATATTCAACAACCCAGCATCCACCAGACCACCAAGTGAGTGCCATATTCCTGCCTTGGGAACCGTGAGTCGCAAGTCTTCCTCCTGCCTTATTGAGATAGACAGTGGCTCGCTGAGGTGAGTGGCATTTATTAGGAATGTATGCAAGGGCACCCCTGAAGCTAACATTTACCGCGCAGCTATACACGAAGCACCCCACCTATCAGACGACTACCTGCACGATGTCTTCAGTCAATTCTGGGCCTGTTCTCGCCGCGGCTATTGCTCCAATCGTTGGCAACAACGACTTCCCCTTTGCCGCCGCAACCAATGCCGAGGCCCCAGCTCTTCCTAGCGGCTTTCCGTCTGAACTGAGATCCAAGTTGGCTTGGACTGGGTCTGACTTTGCCGATGAATCCAAGTACATCTTGTGTTTGACCGGCACTGACTTGGCCGAAGTCAAGCAGGCTATTGCCGAATACAAATGTAGGTTGCTCCCCATTAGGTTCCTTGGTCATCACACTGACCGCGTACAGCTCTTGACCAGGATGGTTATCTCGTCGAGCCGAATTCCTTCCAGCTTCCCACGCTCGGTTTGAAGCTCAGAGCACTTGGACAGGATGTCCATTTCGGCAAGGGTTTTGGCGTAATTCGGGGCCTTGATCGCGCAGCTTTCTCTGTTGAGGACCTGACATTGGCCTACATGGGTCTCCAATCGTACATCGCGGAGCAACGCGGTCGACAAGACAAGCGCGGTAACATGCTCGGTTAGTCAAACGTTGTGGTGGCATTCATCATGCTCTGTGGCTGACATCTCGAATAGTGCACATTGTTGTGGATGACAGCACCAAACAGGCTGCTGAACATCATCGCCACTCGAACAAGTCCATAGTGAGTGGACAACGCAGTATTGACAGGCCATTGTAAATTTGACTAACCCTTTGTTGCAGACTTTCCACAATGAGGAGGCTGGCGATATTGTCAGCTGGTTGACGAGGAGCACAGCTGCAACTGGGGGCAAGTGTATTATTGCTTCTGCGTACACCATCTACAATGTCTTGGCTGCCACTCGACCCGACATCATTCGGACTTTGGCGCGCAGCGACTGGCCCTTCTCCATGTAAGTGATTACCATCACACAGGCCTATCTCACGTTATCAAGACTCCATTTAACATGTCCTACTCAGGCCCCGCTTTCAATGCCGTCCGGTGATATTTTACGAAGATTCGAAGCTCATCATGAACTTTGGCCGAGCGGCTCTTCTTGGGAACCAGGCCCATCCCCGTCCTCAGCATCTGCCATCCTTGACTGCTCGTCAGGTGGAGGCTTTGGATGCAATTGAGGCCATCGCGAAGGCGTCTCAGATGGAGATTCAAACCCAGGCTGGAGACATACATTTCATCAACAATCTGGCTGTTCTGCACCGTCGGGAGGGCTTTGTGAACGGAGAGGACGCATCTACTAAGCGCCATCTGGTTCGCATGCGTCTTCGAAGCACCGAGCATGGTTGGCCTATTCCCAAGGAACTAACTCAAGAGTGGGACGAGGCTTTCAAGAACAAGGGCATCAAGCGCTGGCATCTGGAGCCCATGCCAGCGTACTATTTCCCCCTCCGCCAGCAGCCCAACTGAGTCACGGTGATTTTAACGAAGACGTATACAATGACACGGTATCAAGTGGACGCGTTTCCTCTATCATTTCTGCAAAGAAACAAAATAACAAAAAAAAAGCTTATCGGTCTACGGGCGCGGAGCATAGCACTGGTCCGAGGGTCGGTTTTAGGACCTGAAAAGTATTGGCCATGGATTTTCTAGGCACTAACCACTTCTCACACTAAAGTATCTCTTTTTGTTGTAGGTTAGGGAATCTTGGGAATGATCTGTGTCAACAGCCTTAGCATACCGTTTTTTCCCACTGAACCTGGCAGTTTCGGTGCGAAAGAAGCATACATATGCACGGCGGGATTAGCTGTATGCGAGGAATCAGGCCAATGGGATCCCCTCATTCTTCATTCTTCCTAGCTAGTGCCTTTGGCAAATCTCTTACAGATACTAGAGCTACCTTCGGCATAGTGATCGGGCGAGCTTTATTCCTTGGAGTGTTCAACGCCAAGAGGGTGTCTCGGACGAGCAGGTTCGGGTATCATTACAGGTGTCATTGCTATACAGCTCATATGCATGGTTAGAGAATACAGCAGTTGAGCAATCGTGGTTTCCCATCTCAGATCTTCACTACGACCCCGAACGTATTTAATAGTGCCACGCTCAATATCCGCTTGGCGGCAATAACGCTATTTTGTAGTTTGGGTTATACTAGTGTACAAAAGAGATCCGATCAAGCCAAGATCAGACGCGCAGCACTTTGATAGGGCATGGACGGGACGATCACCCGCAACGGTAGAGGTACCGAGAATGATTGATGACCAGGGGATTGGGCTCCAGGGTTAGTGACACGCAGAAGGGCATCTACAGAGTGCAGCGCAATGAGCATGCATGCATACGTTCGGTTCGGTTTTGATAACACCAGGATGATGCGCGAGTGGGAACGGGTAACAGTTCTCTAAGTGTCCGCGGCGTGCTAATCCTACAGCGTTTCGACAGGCACATTTTACACACTTCATATATCTCTCTTACGCTGGACGGTGTTGTACGGAAATGAGGTAAACGTCGGGGACCAACGAGATAGTCATTCAGTTGTTTGCCGGCGTCGAGTTCATGTCTCACAGATGGATCCCCGGGCTATGGCTAGAGTTGCTAGTGCACTGCAAGGGCAATCATATGGGGAAATGAGTACGTATTTGAATCCTCCCAAACTTAACGACTTTGTGTACAATTGCTTGGTTGTCAGACTAAACTTAGCTTGATGGTGAAGAGAAGAATTAAAGATGCTAGTCTATTCTTGCTGTAAGTTCAATTTCTTATGAACCTATTATTCTTTTGCTTCCAGGTACAAACAAGTAGCTCGACTTTGAAGAAAAGTTACACAAATATATACTCTCCCTACTATTCTAAGTGGTTACGACTACTAGAGGCTTTTTACGGCACAGGATAGAATGTACCTAGTATCAAGAAGAAGCAAAGCAAGCGGCCTGATGGCTGGATGTAAGGTAGAGGGTGTTATTGTACAGACTTTAGTACTTCCAGTACTTGTTAAACAATGCGCCTGAGTACCTATGTTGAGCCCTTCCATGATGCGCGCGGACATAATTATGTTGATACTAGATTGTATGCACTATACGAGTAATTAAATATTCCAAGACACCATCAGGAGAAAATCTGTTGAAAGGCAATCTCTTGTATCAATCGATCCGCAAATTCATGTCATTTGCATTACATGGTCACGGTACCTCTGTCATCCGCTGTCCTCAGCTTCTTAGCGTGACGGACAACTCAAAAGACGGAACTTGAATGCCAAAGTGGCAGGAACTTCTTCATCATGATGACCATGAGTGCACGCAATGTAAGTACACCGCAGGGATATCTGTTAGAAGGGGTAGTAGAGCGATGAAATTTTACATAATTAAGGTCGAGTCCCACTAACAGATGTACATCTGCTTCAGTTTTTCTGGATCTTTGCTCCTTCGTTCCTTCCCTTACTAACTCCAATATTAGCTGGGGATAATGCCACGTGGGAACTGGACTCACAGTTGTCGAGTGGTTGCTCGACGGTTAGGAAGAAGTAACGATCGTTGCAGGGAATTGAATGAACAGTTTGTTTGCTCCACCGTTGGTAGCTGAGCTCACAACGCGGTGGTTTTTGGATGCACTCCTCTCGAAAGGAGCTGGGCTTAGCTGTTGATTCTCCGGTGCAGGTGTGCACGCATGGATGTCATGGAAAAGCTCCCACCAATTCAGTATTAAGTTCCGTCGCTTGATGCTGCAGTGCCTAGGGGATTCGGGGTTGCTGAGATGGCCATGTCAATAGTATCCTACCACTGACCGTCCGGCAACCATACCACACAGCTAACATATACTGTTAAGGTACGCTGAGGGCATTGCAACCGAAAAATCGCTACCCAATTTATCACCATCGCCTTCTTCACTTGTCCTTCGTGAGACAGCTACCGTAGACCGCGCATGGAGAATTGGACTCAATATTATACAGTACACTCACCTGACTGCACGGGTCAGAAGGTCACTCGCCGCAGACTTCCGGCCCTCGATGAGGATCTCCAGCTGAGGGCGACATCTCCGGAGGCGGCATGGGGCTTCTCGGCTATCCTACACAGTACGGAGAGGGGGAAGAGTAGTCGGGACCATGGTGCTGCACTGCAATGATGGCTGGGAGTGAACATCAACCGAAGTATCATCAGGCTCAGATTTCACTGGAAGCCAGAACTGCAACTGAAAAGCCGTGATATTGTTCGAGTGCCAGGCGTCTAACCGATCTGATCTTATCCATGACTCCGTACAGCAGTACTCGAACACAGAAACCTCATCATCCATCCATGACGAATCGAAAAAGTAGTCCAAATCCCAAGTGCACCAAAGAAGTCATGCCAGAATATGACCCGGCTTAGAAAAAAAGGAATCACCTTTGTCTCCTCGCCCTCATTCCCATGCTCATACCCATGCGATATATATCGTAGTATCCTTCACAACCCAAGTATGACCTTGCAAACCAGAAGAAAACGCCTCCAAAGACAAAACCTCTATGCCAGAGAGGCCGTCATGCATGAGAAAAAAATGAAGTGCTGATCATGCAAACGTGATGGTTAAAACAGTATGCTGCATCTCGCTCGCTGAATGCTCCAAGTTTGCTTGCTGCCACTGAGAAACCCAAGACTCCCAAAGGCATAACCCTATGCTCTTGAACGCACCTTTTCTTTTTGTATCTCAAATGAATCATGAAGCCAATGAATCGGAGCTTTCGTTTGTAACTCATCAAGTGAAGTATAGTCTCTTGACTCATGAGAATGGGGTCACATCCCACTTATTTTACGCATTGCCGATACAGCGGCCGGACTGGTTGTCGAGTTCCCTATACTCCCAACTCGTCCACTCGTCTTTCGAACACCAGCTTCTCTGACGCTCCCAGGTGGATGGCGTTTCGCACTAGTGTTGCCTCGTATCTTGGTCAAAACTCCAGACGCGGAACTAGTGCGTGGAGCGTGGTCGTGGGCCTTGATTCGTGCTGCGGCAGTACCAATGTTCTCGATATCGTTCGATGCATCATTATCCATGACTTGATAAACAGTCGTTTTCGTGGTAGCGGTTTGGTGGGTGACAGACCGTTCGGGGTGTTGTCCTGGTGAAGTTGGAGCGGCAGACTGTCTTCGCCGAGATCTTCGAAGATTCCATTCCTCCTCTGAACTCGGCCCTCTTGAGCTCTTGTGAACTGTAATCACCTCGGTTGTCACTTCTGTCATGGGAACGGGTTCTTCCTCCACAGTGGTCTGAATAGTTCCCCGGCCATATCCTTTCTGGCGATCTACTGCGCCCCGCTGCGTCTTCCTTGGCTGTCCTGGCGTAGGTGCGGGGAGGTAATCCTCTTGTACGCCGATGTGATTGTCACGCGCCGAGTCCCGGTCGATCTCGCCTAGCGGTGTCCGAACTGATCCTCTGTTAGAGGGTGTGGACACGCCGTTTTTGCTAGAGCTACGACCAATACTCGTCTTCGACACGGCACGGATAGGGGTGCTGGGATGCGCTGTCCCGTTAGCTTGAGCGGCGGCGGCGGCGGCGGCGGCTGCCATTTCTTTGCGCAGCCTCCGCTCAACCCGCTCCTCGATCCACCATTCCCGGAAGATGCCCTGGTTCAGATGTAACCAATGCTGCTGAGGCCCTACGACCATGCCTGGGCGCATAAAGCGCATGTAGGCAATGACCTCGTTTGCTGTAAATCCATGTCGGTAGATCAGGTAGGCGCCGATGAGGCAGCCTGTACGGCCGAGACCAGCTTTGCAATGAACAGCAATGCCCTTCTTCCTAGAGATGGTTTCATGGGCCATGCGGATAAATTTCCGTACGGTCGAAAGGGTAGGACATGTTCCGTCCTCAAAGATCATGTCGATGTGGTTGATTCCTAGGGCTTCGAAGTACGAGGGATTGTAGAGCTGCGAGTTCAGCCTAACGACAAGACCGATGTCTCGCTCCGAGAAATGCCTGAGGACATTTTTGAAGGGCTGCGGCAGCGTAGGATGTGCGTCGACGGCGGCTAGGGTCTTTGGCAGAAGTGACCACTGCTCGGTCCCCTCAGGGGTGGGAGCAACCGGGGTATGCTGAGGAGAGGCAAATGCCAGAAAGTTGGGTGTAATCCAGTTGAAGTCGCCGTGCTCAACTCTCTCAAACTTTTCGTACTCGTCAAGGTCGAATGTCTCCAACACGCAGCAGCCTTCCTCCTTGGCCTTCCAAACGCCGTACACAACGTCCTGAACCGTGATGCCGTAGTCGGCCTGGCTGTAGCCGGCGTCTCTGAACGGCATTAGAGGGGGGTCGACCTGGGCGACCGGCGCCAGAGCCAGATGCGGAGGCCACGATTGGATCAAAACCATGTAGCAAGCTAGTAGACAAGAGGCATTGGCACGACCTGAGGTAACATTGGTCAGCAATCATTGCTGTTCTCGAGGAGGCGGACTTAGATGACCTACTGCGTGGATCGGCCCTGCTCCAGAACACTACCGGCCTGTCTTTGTTCTCCTTGGCCCCAAGGATTTCGTGAAACTGCAGGGCGAAGCGGTAAAGGTGGCCGATGTGGAACGGGCCAAAATCGTGGTGGAAGGCATTATATAGAAGAGTATCGTCGACAGTAAAGTAGTATGGCTTCTTACGCTCCGCGACCTGGTCGATTGTTCGTTGAGAGCGCTTGCGCGGGGACCGTGGTTCAGGATCCGGGTAGGGAAACAAGGTATGCTCGGTAGGAGGTTCAGAGTAAGATGCGAGGTACAATCGGTCTGTAAAGGTTAGTATACTGTAAGGCAATTGCTGATATTGTAGAGGATATTCAAAGGTGCACATATTGGGACGGGCAGCTCCGTTGCGGAGCGGTGAACATGGGATGCGGGTGGATCATGAACATGGAGTTTTCGGACAACGGAGCCAGAAGCAAAACAAAAAAATGTAGCATCGATTAAGAGGACCGGAGCGGCGCACACATAGTTCACACGTACCGGGAATGTACTCGATGATTTGCCCCAGATTGCTGGAGTATCTGGAGGAAGGAGCCATGGCGTCGTGGCCTGGGAGGCTCAATAAGTCGACTGTTTATGTCGAGAGAGCGATTGGCGTTGCGACAATGCGCAGGCGCATGTACCGGGATAGTGATGCTGTGCAATGCAGTGAGCTATAGGAAGGCGGGAGCGAAGGATGTTAAAGTCCAATTCGATGTTTTGTCGTTAGGGGGCTACACTTTAGGTCGGCCAAAATTATGGTCGGATTGATTGACGGGAAGAAGGTGAGGTCGAGATCGCAGATCGTTTGCGAGCGATTGTGTGCCAACAAGGGAAACCAAGCAGCCAAGCTGGGCTAGGTAGGTATACCGCGAGGCAAGGGACTGTGTACTGCACTGCAGGGTGCGGGGTGGGATGAAAGGGCCAAAAACAAGAGCTAAAGCATCCAAAGAAGGACAAGAGGACACCGGCGGCGAGAATGCAATTCTTGTAAAGAACGAAGGCACCGGAGGCAGGAGAATTGAAGAAACAAAGGAGTGGGCAACTCGATGATGATGTGCGAGAGGAGGTCAGAAAAGACCGGTGGGTATGAGCTGGTTGCGGAGAACAGGTTTTGTAGCAGGTACGGCCTTTACCGGTACTTACCAAGAGCGGTGTTTTTGCTGGCAAGGTTGTATGTCGTGTGTGTATTGTCATTGGCAGGGACCCTGGCGAACTGGAGAACGAGCGAGGCCTTCACCTCACCTTCCATGCAGAGACCGCCTCCAAGTCGTAACTGATCTTGCCCGACCGCTGCCTGCGCCCGGGGTTTATTAGCGTGGGCCAGCGAAGAATTCGGGGGGCTTGGTATCTTCCAAAACAATTCACCGCCCAATAAGCGCGTTCAAAGCTCCATCTCACCCGCCGTTGTCCCGACAACCTTCTCTCTTGGCATCCGCAGTCGCGCCTGGACCAGTAACATCCAATCACTTCGCTCTGACGGGAGATCCCCCCCCCCCCCCAGAGCTCCACTTTCCAGCTGAGGTAGAGAGGGAGGTGTTGCCGGAGCTTGTCCTTTTTCTGTAAAGCCGCCATGATGCCTTTGCGCCCAGCACACGGCAACAACCGAATATCGAAACTCGCTCCCTGTTCAGCCAGCCTGCCGCCTACGACCTTGCGATAACTGTAGACGATAGTAACATCACTGCGGAATTGCCAGTGTGAGATACAGTTTGAGGTTCCTACAGAGTTTCGTACAAGGGCCTGTTATCGGTCATCACAGCCCAGGCACACTGTCGAAGAGCGCCTTTGGCAGACGCCGCGGCGGTTGGAATTTGACATTCGTCATCGGGTAGCGCTTACCACACAAACACCCCTAACAACCATTGAACGAGTGCCAGTTTGAAACCCTTGGTTCACGACAACATATTTCTTGCAAGTGTTTACTACGGGGTTATCAAAGACCGCAACCATGGCAACCGACGATAACTTCCCCTGCTCGCTGTAGGTCATTTGTTTTTGATTGTTACTTCATTCCTTCTTCTGATATGTTTTGATCATCTATTTATTTCCCAAACTTGATTTTTTTTTTCTATTTTTCATTTTGTACCACTCGTCTCATAAGACATCGTCACATCCTTGCTTCACTCAAACTCTGCATACCTTTCAAGATAATCGACACTGACACAGCAACCGACAAGAACACTTCGAGTGCCCTTCCCTGATGCTCGGTTAGCTTCTGTTGCCCTCCAGGCTTTGAGGGTGGACAAGGAGCTCTCCGGCCTCGTGAAGCGGGAACTTTCGACCGTTGCGTCTCCTGGCAGCGAATGTGCTGGGGAGACGGTCCTGCAAGTCGACTACAAGGCCACCACAAACCGCATGCTCCGCGTTGCCGTGAATTCCTTCATGGACAGCCTGGCGTTGGTGTTGGAGGTGCAGGAGGAGATGGATGTGGATGTCATTAAGTCTGAGAAAGCCAGCATCTGAGGGCTGCTTGTGTCGAGACTCTTACGGGTTCATTCCTGCTGCAGCAGACTCAATTCGCCCACTCTCCGCCCATTCTCATCTGAGGCAATAGATGATGCGACAGACATGGCGCCATGCCTCCGGACACCGAGCGGTTAGCAGGTAGAGGCAACAATGGTGGCTGATCACTAGAAGTACCTGTACGTATGCCTATCTCCTCGGGTATGAGGTGTTCCTACGACGCTTTGTCGGGACCTGCCATTTGGACTTGCTGTCTCTGGGCATCACATGACAATCCGCACCTGCTTCGAGTAGGCGTGTCATCTGTTCATAGACAGGCGGGTAAAGATACGAATCAATACAGTCACCAAAACAACGCAAGGAAGCTCCAAAGACATATCTATCCCTGCATTCAACCCTTAGCAGCGTTTGAATCATGGGATAAAGCTAGGTAAATGGGGTATCTGGTTTTGAGTGTGCTCTTACTTTCCTTGAAACAGTGGTCAGGTATCAGTCAACCTGTGCGCGATGCTATAGGTCATCGTCACCCATGGCTTCGTTGATCTCAATTCCTCTGCCATTGCCATGACCATTTGTCCCATCGATCGCACTGATGCCGTTCGGCTTGTCAAATTTTAACCGGCGTCCATGCTTTTTCCTCCGCACATTCTTGTAAACCTTGATAGTGCAATCCTGCCCAGAACTCACCATGGTGTCGCCGTTGACATCCACCCAGAAACAGACTCCCTCGTGGGCCTTCTCGATACGCTGTACGATTTGCTTGGATACCACATCCCACATCACAATATCTCCGTCTTCACTGGCTGACACGACAAATGGCTTGCCTATATTACCATGCCGGTAGTCGTCCTGTGTATCCTTGTTGTCGATCACCACGCCAAAACCTCCGCCTATAGAAAAGCCGCTGTTTTTATGGCCTTGGTATGTCTTCTTGACGGTTCCGGATACATAGTCCCAAAGACGAATGCTGTTATCGAGGTTAAAGGCGAGTACGAAGCGGCCGTTCGGGCTGAAACAGACATTGGTGACGGCGGGGTTGTCCTCGTGGACGAGCGTTCGGAGACATTGGCCGGTGGAGGTATCCCATATGCGACTGTGCACACACACAAAAATTAGCAACCATACACCATGAAGCTCGTGTTTTTTTTTTTTTTTTTTTTTTTTTTTTTTTTTTTTTCGGGCAGGGGAAAGCATACATGAGTCCATCCGTAGAGCAACTGACAACCAGTGTCCCATCACAGCAAAAGCCGATGCCGCTCACTGGGTCACTGTGAGCGGGCAAGCTTCGCATCAACCGACCAGCTCGCACATCCCACAGAAATACGGCCTCGTCATAACTCCCGCTGGCCAGAATATTCCCTTTTGGCGAAAAGGCGAGGCAGTAAACATAGTTATGATGTCCCAGTAGCGGACCCATTCCTGTTCTACCTCCGCGTGCTGTCCTAGCAAGCTGGCTGCCACCTCTAATGTACTCTCGTGGTCCTTGGCCACGGTTGCTTTCGTCCCCACAAGCGTGGGCGGGACTGGCGGTCACCCGGTCCCAGAGGCGGATGGCCTTGTCATCTGAACCGGTAGCCAAAGTGTTGCTGTCCGGTGCCCATGCCAAGCATGAGACTCCGGCCATGTGACCTATGAGGGTATCGAGGTTGTTGCCCGTGGTGGCGTCCCAGATCTTGACGCTGCCATCGGCGGAGGCGGAGGCGATCCATTTTCCGTCTGGTGATATTCGAACCTGGCTGATGGCAGCAGTGTGGCCGCTCAGCTCTAAGCGGGGTCGATAATTTGGTCGAAGCTGTTCGGCATGTGACTTGGACGGACGGCGGCCTTGGAAGCGAGAAGGCGATACGGAACGGGAGCGGTCGCGTATCGAGCTTGTTCGGGACCGTGACCGCGTGCGCGATCGAGAGCGAGGAGATCGGGATCGGGTTATGGAACGCGAGTACGAGCGACTCCTCGAGCGCGACGAGGTTCTGGACCGCGATTCGCGAGAGCTAGTTGCTGACCTGGAGCGGTATCGCCGTTGTTGTTCGTCTTCGTCAGAACGGGGACTGGTGCTTCTGGTTCTACTCCTCCCACTTCTGCTTCTGCTTCGACTTGCGCTTGCATCCCTGGTCCTGTTTGGGCTTGTAGGGAGACGGTCGCGGCGCGCTAACGGCCTGTGGGCACGAGATCGACCTTGGTATTCTGTTGTGTCTTCGTCGCGGTTCATTTCTTCGGCGGGTGAACTATATCGCGGCATCGAATTGGCGTCGTCGTTTGGAAGTCTACGGCGTTTGGGGTGAGGCGGCTCAGCAGCTGTGCCTGCGGGGGAAGCCCGGGCTTTGGGCATGTCGAGGGGAAGCTTTGCTTGAAAAGATGCCGTGCCGTCTAGGGACGAAAGACGCGGGCCTAGCTATTGATAGATGATGGAAGTCTGAGCTCGTGGGAACGCCAAGGTAATAGTAAAAGATAGAATATGTGGTTATAGATTCGTTTGTCGGGTTCTGTTGGCATCAGTCGGAGAGTGGAAGAAAGCTGAAAGTGGATGCGCGCGCACGCCAAGGTACCTTACCCGACTGTTTTGGGGGTGTAGGGGCGTGGGGCGGGCCACAAGTTCACTTGTTATCGGAGTCCATGTGCAAACCAAAGCCAACGGCGGGGCCTTTGTTACCATTCATAACCATGAATGGAAAGTCATTAATTTTGCTATAACTTGATGAGAGGAGCATGTTTCTTTGCCCAGATTGCAAGTTCGAGGTTTTTGTTTCTTTCATGTCCTCTGCTGTGAGATCCACCAAAGTCTGGATGTTCTTTTACGGAGGAGTCCGTATCAGAGGTACACTAATAAGACCACCTGTGTACATAATTGGTCAATCCGTCGGCTCCAGCCGTCGTTGAAGTTCCCGGGCCGTCTTGATCTCTCAAGATTTGTGGAGAGCCTCCACACCAACTCGGCAATATGTACGCCAAACCTAGAATGGTTTAGTTGGGCGTGTTCGAGGATCGAGAGATAGCCGCCGTGACCGTAATTTGGAAGGCGAGTGCACTTTGATTGTTTTCCAAAGTCTAACTAACACTCTGTATCATTATTGAAGAGCTTTGCTGACTTTCACTCATTCATTGCGGTGCATCCGTGTGGGCCTCTGATGAAGTTGCGGCTCCTCATTTGACATGCCATCTGACACGTCCTCTACTTATAAGAACACATCAACCGCATCAGACGACTTTGCTCATCAAGAACCATACGAACCCTCAGTCACGATGGCCGAGTTGCCCACCGAAATCTCCATCGTGACGCTCAACTGCTGGGGCTTGAAATACATATCCAAGCTTCGCCGCGAGCGTCTTACAGAAATCGGCCGCCAGCTCGCCATCGCTGACCCGCAGCCCCAGATAGTTGCGCTTCAGGAGTGTTTCTGCCACGAGGACTACCTAACCATCCGGCGCGAAACCCGCTACATCCTGCCATATGGCAAGTTCTACTTTGCCGGCGCCTTTGGCGGCGGTCTGGCCATCTTGTCCAAGTGGCCGCTTGAGGAGAGCACCATGTACCGCTACCCGTTAAACGGACGACCCACAGCTTTTTGGCGCGGCGACTGGTATGTTGGAAAGGGCGTTGCTTGTGCAAAGATCCGGTACGGCCCGGGGCCAAAACACATTATCGAGGTCTTTAACACACACACTCACGCCCCTTACGAATCCGGCCCCAAAGACTCATACATCTGCCACCGCACCTCTCAGTCCTGGGAGATCTCCAAACTCCTCCGCGGCGCCGCCGAACGGGGCCACCTCGTCCTCGGCCTGGGCGATTTCAACATGCTTCCCCTGTCCCTCGAGCACCAAATCGTCACCTCTCATGCGCCTGTGCAGGACGTCTGGCGCGTTCTCCATCCTGACAGTTCCGTCGGCCCAGCCTACCACCATGCCGAAAAGGCTCGGGGGCGGGCCGTCCCCACAGCCGAGTTTAACATCCTCGAGAACTGCGCCACCTCCGACGGGCCGTTCAACACGTGGCGCTGGCTGCCCAAGCAGCAGAAGCGGCTAGGTATCGGCAAGCCGGTGGTGACTGTCGACCCGAGCACGCCTGACCTGCGCGGAAAACGGCTGGATTACATATTTGCCGGAGCTGGGGACGTGACGGCTAATGGCGGGGGATGGGTGGTCAAGCGTGCGGCGGTTGGGATGATGATGCGGCATCCAGAGCTGGGGTGTTCGTTGAGTGATCACTTTGCTGTTGAGGCGACGCTCAAGTTTGTTCCTTTAAAACAGCAGCGTGATAACAACAACAATAACAACAGCCCTTTTAGCAACAGTCATCAAACCATCGAACCAACCACCACCCTCCTTAATGACGCCGACAACCATCTCATCCAAACGGGCACCTGCCTCCAGGAACCATCATCTCAAGGCACCAGTGTCGCCGAGGCCGATGCCGACACCGACACCGACGACAACCTCACCTACACAAAACAGCTCCTTGCCTTCAACTCCCCACCACCTCGCCTACCGCCCAGCGGCTACGACCAAATTCTCAGTCTAATCCACAAGTACGTAGCCCGCGAGCGGTCGCAGCTCAAGTGGCGAGCGTACCACTTCTTCTCATGGCTGGGAGTTTCGATCGGGTGTCTCGTCGCGGTATGGTTCGTCCCACGCAACTTTGTTGCCTTCATCCTCATGCTCGTCAGCACGCTGGGCTTGGTGGGCGGTACGCTAGACGGTCTGATGTCGCTTTTGTTTTTCAGGAGCGAGTTGCGGGCGCTGAAGGAGTATGAGTTCGAGATCTTGACGGCCAAGGCGCTGGCGGAGGGCAAGACGCCTGTCGTACAGCAGGTTGGCACTGGGGAAGATGTTGATGCCGGCAAGCAATGGTGACGGTTTCTGAGCCGGTGTGGCAACGCTGGCTACCAACAACTCCCAATGGATGAGTTCGAGCGTCTTCATTGAACGTCAGTCACTAGGGGAGCAGAAAGCAAGCGGCTCCCCAGCAACCAAGTTAGAATAACTACTAATGCTAATACTCTGTATTCCTATTTCTCTGACTTCGCACTTCTATCGGATATTCAGTTACGCAGTGTTACTAAAAAGCAAAACCTACCATGGCGTCTGATACTCGCGTTCGCCAACTCTACATCTCCCACTCTCCCCCGGCTGATCGCTCAGTCTTCTGAACAAATCGTCATCCAAACTAGAGCCAGCTCAGTCTTCCCTTGCGTAAAGCTTTCACAGCAGCGGCGCGATCCTCTTCCCACTCATAGCCAGCATGATTCGCATAAACACTTTCGGTATAACCACCGCTACCGCCAAATGCAACACCGTCAGCATCGAATGTGCCATCTTCGCCCCTGGGATTCCCATCGCTCGCAAAGGAACCAACGTTGGGCCAAATCCGTTCCAAGCCCTTTCTCACGGCCCCGTTACCGTCGTGGTTCATCCGTCGCCAAGTGTAGCCCATAAAGGCGGTCCTCTTCCTCACATCCATGACCACTGCCTTGGTGTTCTTGTCCCTCAACAGCTTGTCCCTGGGCCTCTTTCGATCTTTCTTTCCATAGACCCGCACAAACTGTTTCAACATCTCCCGATCTTCCGAAACCAGATCGGCAAACCTTTCATCAATTTGCGAGTCAAGATTGTGTAGGCGATTTCTGTCATACGGGGTTGCAATGGCCGTGAGAGCCCACTTCTCAACATCACGTCTGCAGCCTTGAAGAGCTTGCTTAGCCACAGAAGTCGTTTTATGTTTGGGGTTGGGGGGACGGCTGCCTATACTAAGGTCCTTGAGAGATCCAAGCATAGAGGGTGTTGTTGGACTGATGGGACTTGAGCTTCCGTATGGGTCTGAGGTGACCGGAGAGCTAAGATGTGTCGGTGAGGGATCCTCCGGCTCTGATTCCTCGCTGCTGTTGCTCCAATCGCTGATAGGATCCTCGTCGTCGAAATAATGAGTATCATCAGGGCCTCGTAGATGCGGTATGTATGGGGGATCAATCTCATGCAGCCTTTCCCAAGGAACTCCCCTGAACCACCTGTGCGCCTTGATGTCTTCAGCATCGTAAGGAAATACGTAACGGCCGGCGAAGTCTCGTGGGGCTACCGACTGGGGCTGCTGCTTCCGATAATGGCCACAAGAACTCGTCCCTATACTGGGTCCTCCTGTGGTTCCTAGATTGGCTGATTGGGCGGTGATAGACATGTTGATGAGATCTTTGAAGCGATAGCGTTTAGAGCAGAGCCTGTTTTCTCTGTTGTCTATAAGCGATGTGATCAATTGCTGACATCTAGCAGAGACAGCAGGTTGACGTGGAAAATGGAACGTCTCTTTGTATCTCTTGAACGTGAAACGCAGTCAGTGATTGTAACTTTGCCACGCTGGGTACCTGTACGGAGGATATGGGGGGGGGGGGGGGGTTCCAAATAACTTACGAGAATGTTCTGCTTCGTCATATGTCTACCGGCATCGGAAATAAACGGTGTACGACCGTAGAGACATTCGAAAAGAATAACGCCGATACTCCACTAGTCACACCGAGCATCGTACTTCTTCCCTTCAATGACTTCTGGCGCCATATACTGGCTAGTGCCGACAACACTCATAGCAGAAGTGCGGTTGCCGCATCGATTACGCCAGCTAAGAAGGGGCTCTCCATCATCTGTGATTTTTTTCTCGTGCTTGTCGATCCCCGTCATAATACCGCTTGCCCATTTCATTGTGGCCTGCAGACTGCGACCTTCGGCCTTGTCTTGGTCATCACCCTCGATGTGGATGCCCAACTTGTTGAGCAAGCTATATCGGTGACAGTTGAAGTATGAGGCGTCATGCGACCAGTGACCGTCGAATGCCAGCCCGAAGTCACTGATCTTCAGATGACCTGAGGCAGAGATGAGAAAGTTGTCCGGCTTGATATCTCGATGAATGATCTTGAGCGCATGTGCCGCCTCGACACATAGTATCATTTCGGCAACGTAGAATCGTGCTACAGACTCGTGTAGGATGTTCTCCCGAATTAGAAGTCCAAGAAAATCACCACCTGGCATATACTCCATGACAAGGTAGAGATTGGCAGCGTCCTGGAAGCTTGCGATGAGTGGTACAATCCTACGGCCTAGTCAGTATCGGCTCAAATTTCAGGATGCTACTTGGAGCACGTACCATTTTGAGCCCTCAGATGCAACAAGAAAGTCCCTTTCGGCTTTCAGATGACCCTCTTGGCTAGTCCGAAGCATGTCTGACTTTCGTATAACCTTCATGGCGTATACCTGTTTGCTGCTAGCTTCGGACGAACTATCAGAGCGGCCATTGGGACCTTCATCACGATATTGGGATTTTTCCCGAACGAGTCGTACCACCCCAAAGCTACCTTTACCCAGAATCTTCAAGACATCCCAATCCTTCTCAGCGCTGGCTTCAGGGGCACCCCGTTGCGCCACGAGTGCGAGGGTACTGCGGGCTTTCAGTACACGAGTCTTGCGTAGATGCTCGCTTTCTCGACGGAAAAAATCCGCACGCACAGCTTTTATCTCCGAAGGGCTCACTTTACCATCCAACGCACCGCAGTTGATCAGATGTGTCTCAAGCAAATGAAGACGAATAGACCGCGGGCTGGGCCCGGGATTCAGCAGCTCATCGAAGTAAGTTTCAAGGTAAATCTTGGCCGCGGCTGCCCGCTCGACAGTCAGTACGCTAGGAGACGCTTGATCTAGGGCAGTCTCTTGAATCGTAGTGAGATTGCTTTCAGGACTAGAGAGTGTATTGACGCCGCGGCGGGTGGCATGCGCACAATTCAGGACAGGGTGCTGATGACGTTGTAGATGCTTCTTCTCAGAAGCCCTTGTACTAACACTCTTAAAGCAAGAATTGCCGGGGGGTGATGAATAGAATCTGGAATCTAAGGAGCTCTGAGCGGTCGAGATCTCGGGAGACATACTTGGGTTGCTGTTGCTATTCGTAGGACTGTTCTTGCTGGATTCAGTATCCACGTCTCCTGTAATTGGTGATGCCGGTGGGGACTGAGGAAACTGTAGCAAAGTGGTCCTGTTGTCGTCTGCTGATTGGAATGCGTGGTTTACTGGGATTCGTCCCTTCGAATGTTTTCGATGAATGATTGTCGGTTCTGCTACTGCACGAAAAAGTGCTCCGGACATTTTGCCTATGCGCTGTGAAAGGGTCGTCGTCCTGGGTCTTGATAGGTCAAAGGTCAGCGACCTAATCTCGTTGTTGGAGACTGGTTTTTCTGTTTCAGAGACTGATCAGTATTTTCTTCTGTATCGGGGCAAACAGATAGCAATGATACATTCTCACTCAACTGACCGTTGTGGGTGAGTGCTCCTAAAGCCAGACCAAGCCTTGACCTCTTCCAGTGAGATCTCGATGGGCGATGGGCACCTTGACTGGGTGAAGAAGAAGCGAGAGACGACCTATGCGAGCAGTCGTCAGGCCTAGTGGGATGATAAACCGGGATGGTGGTACCCAAATGACTTGATGTCTGAGAAGAGCTCCTCTTCATGTCTCAAGCTCGGTCCTGTCCATTGAATGGTAGAAACCGCTACGGCGTCTAAGTTGGTCGATCGTAACGCACAAGGCCTAGTTTGGCGGCAGTCGGGAGTCGCGGCGGCTATGATGATATTGAAAGATACAATGATGATACCTAATGAGAGATGGAAGCAGAGCGGGGAGGTGGGAAGACGTGGATGGACTTTGTCAGTGTGTTGAAATACGACAAGGTGCAGTGAGAAGAGGACGACTCGGAGTAAGGCAGCTCCATACCTAGGTACCTATGCATCACCTGAACTACCCATCAGATGCGCCTCCCTTGCCCCAAGTCAACAACACTGACCTCTTGAGGCACAGACAGGGCAGGTACGACTACGATTCTGAAGAAGCCACAGTGTTTGTAGCCAACTGTCACGCTTTCCTGGAAGTTGTTACCGTCCGTCAATCACAGACACGTTCCTCGACAGCTTGAAACATCCAAGTTTGCTGAGTCCGAGTCGAGTGTAGGTAACGTAGAAATGTTGCGCCTTTGCAATTGATAGACGCAGTATAGAGTATATCGTGTCCCATGAACGATGTACAACCCAAAGTACAGAAAGAAATCCAGACCCAATACTTTTGACATTATGCTGTTGAAATGACATTCCCACTTCCTTGACCAAACCCAACATGAGCGCAAGGAAATATGTGCTGACCAAAGAAATCCCAAGACTTGCTAGCCATAGATCACGAAAGGTTGCGAATGACAACCGCCATAGAAATCGCAACGCTAGCCAAAGCCTTCCTACCCCACGCTTCGAAACGTCACAATCTACTTGATCTCAAGGAGCTTGACGTCGAAGATCAAAGTGCTGTTGGGGGGAATGCCGGGAAGGGCACGGCTGCCGTAGGCAAGGTGCGCGGGGATGGTGAGACGACGCTCACCACCAACAGCCATGCCAGCAACACCGATGTCCCAACCCTTGATCACCTCACCCTTGCCGAGCTTGAAGGAGAACGGGGCACCCTTCTTGTTGGCTGTATCGAATATTAGTCTCTAGTCAATACTGTGAAAGTGATGATATGGAAAAGTGAGACTTACAGTCGAAAACCTTGCCGTTCTGGAGCTTTCCAATGTAGCGCATGCCAACACGGTCACCGTTCTTGGCGGCACGGCCGGAACCAACCTTCCTGTCATCAATGGTGACGCCCTGGACAACCTTGACGGTAGAGGTAGGCTTCTTGTTCTCAAGCTTGTCCTTGGCAGGGCCAGTAGGGCCCTGCTCGAGATTCTTGGCGAACTGGACCTTCTTGTCGGACTTGGTCTCCTTCTTAGGCTCCTCCTTCTTGGCCTCCTCAACCTTCTGCTTCTTCTGTTGCTTCTTGCTGAGCTTCTTGTCGTCCTTGGAGATCATGGCATCGAGACCCTCGGCATCGTCCTCGGCGGGGCGCTTCTTGCCCTTCTTGCTGGTGTCGACAAGCTTGGGAGCCTCCTCCTCATCTTCCGAGGTGATCTCCTTGACACGGGGGGTGCCGTCGAGCTCGTCGAGCTCGTCGCTCATATCGTCGGAATCGTCATCCTCGCCACCAAGGGGAAAGTCGTAATCCTCGTCGTCGGACTCATCCTCATCATCCTCGCTGTCCTCCTCGTCATCCTCGGGAACAACGAAGTTACCGGTGAGATAGACAGAGTGGGTACCCTGGACGCAGAAAAAGACCTTCTCGCCCTCACCGATGGTGATGTTGATGGGCTGCTGGTAGTTCTGTATATGGGCAATCAGGTTAGCTCCAAGAACTCAAAAATGCGATCACCGAGTGGAAGGGGCTTCTTACGCGCTCGGTGTCAAGGGTGCAGACAACATAGTCCTCAAGCTGGAGGTCATCATCGCCGCAGCAGTCGCTCTCCTCGTCGCTCTCCTCCTCGTCGGACTCGCTGGCCTTGCCCTTTCCCTTGCCTTTCTTGCCGTTGGGCTTGGCATCCTCCATCTCCTCATCAGACTCCTCCTGGGTAGCAGCCATAAGCTTCTTGATGGCAGCCTCCTGCTTGGCCTTCTTGGACTTGGAAGGGTCGCTGGGACCACCATTGGCCTCGTCGTCAGAGTCGCCGCCGCCGAGGAGAGACTGGAGGTACTCATCCTCCTCCTCATCATCGTCGTCATGGTCGTGGCCAGTGGCCTTGATGATCTTCAGGGTCGAGCGGGGAAGCGCGGGAATGTTGCCTTGGCCGTCAGCCTCAGGAGCCTTGGTGGGATCGAGGGCAGCCATGGTGATGTGAATCTGGAATTCATGTCGTTAGCTCCGTGTAACCCAGTCCAGTGGAGCGCCATTGCCTGCGACCGAGAGGGCCAAAGGCTCCGAAAAGTGTGCACTTACGATAGCAGGGAACTCAGAGGCGGCGGGAATGAGGATCTCGCCAGGAGGAACCTCCAAGCCAAAAACGGCGACAGGCATAAGGGGGGCCATTGTGAAGATTGGGTGGTGCTTTGCGCCGGGGTATCAAAAAGTCTAGATTTTAAAGAAAATTAAAGGGACAGGAACTCGAAGTCGTCGTCGGAAGTATACACTTCTAAGATTGAAAGAAGATGAATGGGCTGGGTAGAAAAAGTCGGAAGATGGATGCGACCAGTTTGACTTGGGAAAGGCAGAGAATGCGATCGAGGACGAGGGCGGTCGACAGGAAAAGTTCAGGCGAACTGCACTTGGAATCCAGAAAAATTTCGGCACCCCACTGTCTGTACCGTCTGTTACTGTAGCGATAAGACTTCCTTATCGGATCACTGCCACTCTCCCGCTCCCCAGGCCAAGCTAGCAAGGGTATGTCGGTCAATGCAGGTCGGTCGGCTAACAAAAGCGGGGAAAAGTTCGACAAGCTCCGCGCTAACGTAGGTCGTGCGCGGACGCTTGATGTGCCTAGAGCTGGCATGGGAACCTTGCGACGACGGGATGTTCAAACTGCAACTCGTCATCACCAACTCGAGGTTTGAAGGTGGTCGCCGCGGGACTGCGATCTTTTGCCATCTGCAGGATTGATTGGTGCCAGAGCAAAGTGCATCAGGTGCGAGGTATGAGAATGAACACCATGCACCACAGGTACATGTCTGGAGTCTCCCGGCGTTGCCATCCCACATCACATCGGTCCCCCCGGCTCACGGTTCCCTCCACCTGAGTGAGAGGATTCACCGACGAAAGCATTTCTAAGGGATCAAAAGCAAGATTAGGTAAAACTCTGGCTGAACCTTCAGGCACACCTTGATAACCCAGCATGCCACAGTCATCCCATCATCAACGCAATAGTCTCTAGAGCTTGTCTCGATCTTCATGTCTCTGCGGCCTCTCATCCACCTTAACGAGCTTCAATCCCGACTTAGCCACTGGGCCCGGGAAGTGACGGCTCTGCCTCGCGTAAGCCGCAACGAGATCATTGCCGTTGGTTACGCCTTCTATAGGATTCATCGAATGTCAGCCCAGTCATCTGGGGCTAGTCAGGAAAGGATGAAAACAAACCACTAATGGAGCCAAAGATTCCCATCCCCCACCCACCTCAACTTCTCCGCCACCCGAATAACGTCCTGGTCCTCGAATCTCGTCCGCAGATCTTCTTGCAACCCTCGCGGTCCACAGGCTTTCTTGCTTTTGAGGATCCCGGCCGCACCGCAGAGGTACACTCTAGATGGCCGAGTAGACGCTTAGGATGTCTGTCATTTTCGTCTGGTTATTACTGGTGTTGTTCGCATGCCCTGCCAGCCACCACAAAGCGGCTGGGTCCTCTTGGAGGTCAAGCTAAGGATTCCGGTCCCGGAATCAAGACGATGTCAAGCTTTCCTGGTGCCACTTCAAAGAGGATGTTTATGGAGGCTATCAGAGGGATTGGGTGATAAATAGTTGGACTCTGCTGATGTTTTTTTCTTTTTTTTTGGGGGGGGGGGGGGGGGGGGGGGGGGCAGTCAGCTATCATTATCACTTCCTCTAGCGGTAGGTTTGTTGACCGCGGATCATCAACTGGAACCATTGAGTATCGCACGAAACTATGTAATAGAAGATCTCCACACTAGGCGCCAACATGGAAATAGGCAGGGGTACCATCCCCTCCCTTACCATTTCGAAGTACTCTCCGCTCATGGAGGCAAAGATGTCGATACATGCTGTGTCGAACAGTTGGGCGTTCTAGGGGGTGAAGACGCCTATGCGCACCACTTACAGTCGCTTGCGGCTGAAGGGTTGTTGTTCATCTTGGCTAGGACGCTTTAGGGAGGTAGCGCTGTATTGGCCCGAAGAGACTGGTCGAGTTGTGGTTGTGTTGAAGGTGAGTTCTCTATATTGTGATTATCACAGCTGGACATTACACGGGCTGTGTCGTGTGTGATATAGCGGATCTATGCTTCTGGTGTTCTTTCGGTCACTGCTGTGTCTCTGATCAAGCATCGATACTACCCGCGATCGTAACCATCTTCTTCACGATTACCCCCCTCCGAACCAATGCGGCATTGAGAGCCATTCGAAATTATTACACAGTTGAACACACTGATGGTCAATACAGCTCCATCAACCAGCCCAAGGTCTTAGCGACGCAAAGAGTCGTATCAGCCACTGGATGGCCGGTTTTGCAACCTCCGAGCGCGCCCAGAATTGAGATTCAATGGGGTCTAGTAAGCTTGAATATGAAAATTCTTATGCTGGAACAGGATGAAACTTGTTCATTTCTGGAGTCTGTGTACCTTGTCCCCAGTTACGGCTCAAACAGGTATGCAATGCGAATGTGTCATGGTTGTACAATTCGCTGCCCCGACTTGATCCGGTCTCTTCCTCCTGTTAGCACTACATGTCCTATGTTGGTGCGAGTATGCACATCATTCATGACATTCGCGGGCTCGACTGTCTGACTGTCTTCTCTAAGCGATGAACCAATGTTTCGATTTTGAACCATGGGAGAAGTACCAGATGCTGTCTGTTCCAGAAGTGGTTCTCAATGCTGAGTATAGATGCAGTTTTGAGTGTAAGCTACTCATAATAGATGAGCCCTTGTCAACTTGCAAATTTTTCCAAGCTTCCAGCCGCATCGTGGTGACTGAGGTCAAGGTCCCCCTTTTGTTCAGTGCAAGGTCCAATTCGATTCTCACGCCTGATGATGACCTTCCGTACTCCTCATGTTCCCTCCTTTTGGGCAAGAGACCAAATCCGGAAGAGTAATATTAACATTATCATTTAGCTTGCCTCAAGGTAAGTCGCTTCGTTTCCCAATTACCTCACCAGATCGATACCGAAACCCGACTTTCGAATCTAGATGCGAACTTCAGCTCCCAGCCATGCAGAGCAAAACCGCAACGTGACCTCTATGTACATTAAGCCGCCCCGTAACCCCTTGGAGCAGAAATTTGCCACCGGAAAAGTGTATAAGAAAAAGCATCATGGCGTAATTGTTGAACGCACTGAACAGAGGCAGCTGATCTGAGGCTCAAGCAGTCATTAAGTAGATAAAGTAAGAGTATGACTTGCTGCTTCGTCATCCATAGGGCTGTCAGGCGACAACGCTAGGAATCGGAAGAGATGAAGAGGAAAACCCCCGATGAATTGAACGACACCACAAATTTTCCCTCCTCGTCATACCATTGTCTCAACCTTCTTTTCTGGTGTTGATGAGACTGATTTTCCTCTCTGTCGGGTCACCTTTTTGCTCACGGTATAGACCAGGTCCAACGTCCAAAAGTGCCAGATCAGAGCTTGAGCGCAAGGAAGGGAGCCGTATGCCGTTGCAACTAGTGGGACCATGAAATAATCGATCCAGTTCTTCTTGGGCGCTCGGTGCGAGAAATGCATGCCTTTGGTGAGGCCGGCGTCGCTCATCTCCTTCTCGCGAGTTTCGACGCAAATCTTGTGGAACTTTTCGTAGAGGAAGAGGTATAGGCCAACCTCTATGAATCCCAGAGTGCGTAGGACGTTGCAAACACCAAATATCCATCCTATGCCAGGCGCATCAGCCGCCCCGTCTACCAGCCACAGGTACAGCGTAGAGCCGATCACCAGGATAGTCATCTGCACCGGCAAGAAATGGGCTTCGAATAGTCGATGAAACAACACAAAGATACGGGTGTAGTCTGGCCCTTCTAACGTATCGGTGACGATATCCGAGAAGAAGCCAGTACGGTTGGATATATCGAGTTGGGCTTGGGGGATGTAGCCATCGGAGCCGTCTCTAATTAGATTGGACTTATGTTAGCGTATCCTTTCCACGTACAAAAATGGATGCAGATAGTACTCACGGAGAAGTATGAAGCGGGCGGAATGCGCGCGATGTATGCTTCCTTTCCCTCCAAACCTCAGCCATCTTCCTCAATGCGTAGCCCGTATCCAAAGCGCCCCACATGTGACGTAGCGCTTGTTTATACCGGGCCCTCATGTCCATGCCGATTCCTCTGAGACCCTTGTCGCGCCCGCCGCCGGTAACGTTGGTCTGGCTGACGGGGCTCAAGACCGTTCGGACGGTAAGGTTTCCGTTGAGAGCGAAGAAGCACTTCAAATACATGTGAAGGTCCTCTCCAATGGCCTCTGAATCGCAATCCCAACCCCCAACCCTGTCGACCAATTCGAGTGGCAGAGAGTACACTGATGTAGGGGGCGCAACATACGACCCTTCATGTAATCCCGACATACCGGCGGCGGACCACATGATGTCCGCAACCCGGACTATAGCAGGCACGTTGTGAGCATTACGGTCGAAGATAATCGGCGCGGAATACAAGGTGGTCGTCGCCGTTCGGGGATGTGCCACGTGCATTGTAGTGACTAGCGTGAAATAATTGGCCAAGAGATGGCTGTCGGCTGCATTGTAGGCGTGGCTGGTTAGCGAATCATGATGCGCATTCAAGCTTGCAAGGAGCCAAGAGCGGAAGGCGTGGGATTTAGGAGCGGGAAGCCACCCTCCAATCGCGACGCCGCGGCACTTACCATCGATTCCAGTCACAATCACATCTTTCCGTTGAGCAGGTGTATATCTCTGGCTGAGCTGTCTCGCGGCCCACGCAAGGTTGCTCCCTTTTCCAGCCAATTCTCCCGGGATGCTTGACGGATGCACGGTAAAGCTGATGGACCGAAATCGTCTCATAAACTCGTTTACGAGCAACATGGCTTTGTTCTCCACATCGCTTTCCCGCTGTTCCATGGCTAGGTAGACCTGGTAAAGAGCCGTCAGTCAGAGTCCATAACTTCACTCTTTTCGCTTCGCTCCTTAAAGCCCTACTAACGGAGCCCCAGGGAATTATGCCATCGCCGGGAGAGACTTGAGTTAGGTACGGATCTGAGATGGGAAACTCACATCGTAGGTGGCTCGTGCTTGAGGGTGCGATGCCAAAACCTCGAGTGTTTCCCTTAGCGTGTCGTTTTCTTCTTTATAATTGGGGATGACGATGGCATGGATGATCATGTTGGGCGTCATTTCGGAGTCAACGCTGAGCTCGATGTCGGATTCTCCAGCTTCGCTGCACGAGCTTGAGGTCAACTCCCTGGAGGAGGTCAGAGTTTCGGCGCTGGATAATGAGGTCGAAGAACCGCGGCGCTGATGGGCCAAATCAAGGTCTCTGCTGGCGGTCGCAATGTGCGCCATCTTCTGAAGGCTCTTCGTGATAGTGAAAAGGGCCCAGTTCGAACGAAGTGGGAATATGGCGACGAGCAAGTGGATGAAAAGACAGTAGTAGGCGAACACGCGGACCCGGTTACTGGGGCCGAGGAGGTTGTTGGTAGGCGCATTAGAGGCAAGACTGTCGATTGATTCATTTTGTTTGTAGCCATGTAGTTGATGCCCGCGTTCTCCAGAGATAACCCAGTATGTTAACCATATCGTACCGGCCATAGCCAGGCCGCCGGCGCGCCGGGAACACCACGTAATGAGGAACATCTGGATATGAGAAGAGGCGACAAATGTTTCCAGGTAAAGAAAAGGAACAATAAGTGTCGTAAGAAAATGAAGTGGTGCAGTCGAACCAGGACTGAAGGTTGTGCCTTTGTGGTGGCCGGCGAGCAAGACAAAGGGAAAAGGTCGAAGGAAAGCCCAAAGATCCAGTCAGGATCAGCCGCGGCAACAGGCAAACGTGGATGGTCCGGAAAGTGGTTTTGAAATGGCAGATGTTCAAACAAGCGCGACCCTTGCAACAGGACTAACCCTAGAATTTTACTTTGCACGAGTATCATCATGTATTTCTTCTACGTTACGTACGGACACGACTGGAAGGGAGCATTGCCGGTCTGCCCCTCGTCGAATCCTTCTTGGGAGACTTCCACTTGAATCGGACCACACCACGCTGGGATCTCTTGGCCTCTGTCGTCCCTTCTTTTGATTTGGTAAAATTCCTTGGGCAAGTGCCCGAGTGCTCTGTCGCTGTCCCTGAGGCTGAGATTCTAGTGTATACGGTACCTCACCGCCGATAACGAACCACGGCTCATTTGTGGCTCAGGACACAACGGTTCTGCCTGGACATAGCGGGACTTGAGAGGAACTTCCTCGGACACGTTCCAAATCATTCAACGGGGATTGGTGCCCGGTCAAAAGGTACACGTGGAAGGAGCACGGGAATAGGAAGCTGTGGGAATGATGGGGAACTTCAAGGATAATCGACGTCTAACGACTGGGAAGACCCTCGGGGAGAAGAAAGGGAGTGGCGGTTCGGGAGGCGGTGCAGTTGGTTGTGCTGCTGGCTGCAACGGCGCCGAAGGTGGTTGGGTGGAAGTGTGGTAGCGGCGGCCGACTGAACGGTTCGTTGTACCTGGCCCAATCTGACTCGTAACGGTGAACCATTTCGACGGTGAGGAATTTGTACCGCTCTTGCGATGTACAGGAAAGATCAGACGACCGGATACCTCTGTTAATAAATGTCTCGCGGTGCGCACTTGATACACTGCAAGCTGACGGCGCTAAGTAGGTAGGTAGACATGGGGGTTAAGCGATGGCTTGGATGGAGCCTTCACCCCCAGTTTCAGAAACCTCATTTCGAAGCTAGGACCTCCCCCTGAAATTTCGTCAAATTTGGTCGCTCTTTGAAGGACACATTCAGAAGGGATCTTTCCGTCACCTCGCAAGACCGGACCAAAGGATATTGATCCAGCATACTGAGTCATTTAATCGACCGTTGCATCCAACGCCGAATTGATCACAATGGTTGGTTTATCCCAACACGTCTACTGACTCCTAGCCCACAGCAACCACCCGACTGCGCCTCTGTTCAATACTGTGGATACTTTGGATGGTCAGACTTGACCGGGCTTTGTGTTGGTATGAGATCTCTTCAGGTGATGAGAATGTCGGTTGTGTTTGATGTTCTTGTTTCACATGTCCCTATGCGTTCTGCGCGGTATGAGTGGGAAATTATCTTGACGGTTACTAGCCTGCAAGCATCCTGATGTTTTCTGCTCATGGACCCTTGAGATCTCATTGACCCTAGGTGTTGATCCTTCCACATTCGGTTTCTTTTGCTAAAGAGGGGGGGCTGAAAGGCCGTCACCCAACCCCTACTAAGTAACCCCCTTTTTGGTCCCTGCGTATGGAAAGCCTTGGCAGTCTAGATCTTCTACAATATGTAGCACTCTGGCACTGCTTCCACTTTCTTCGCTCAATGTGATCTTGCTTAACCAATCTTGTAACTGGATCATTTCAAATGAATCTTGTAACTACATGAACTTGCAAGAAGTGGATTCGTCAGAGCCAGAAATTGTCGCGCTGTAATTCATGTGGACGTTGCAGGGCGCCAAGTACCTACAGGTACACTTTGAATCAGACAAATCAAGCTTTCCCCCAGGAAAAACAAGCTTCGCCAAGGGCGGGAGGGAGAAACCTTCACCCAAGAAGCAGCGACGAACTCCACTCGACGGGACTTGCACGGTGCAGAGTGTAAGAAGTAGACTCAGCTCCGAGACCGCAAAATCTCACCCATAACGGAGATGCTTCTCACGCAGTAGGTAGATCGTGCCAGGACAATGAGACAATCCAACTGACAAGATGTTGCATTTGCAGATAAGAGATGGGCAAATCAATTGTCTGGACAAATCAACTGTGCGATTTTTTTGGCGGGCTTGTCCCAAGGTTACATAGTAGTTTGAGGGTTAGCGGTTAGGGTTTGGTGATAGGGCTAGTTCCGGGTGCATGATGTGATGCGAACGAGAGCTCAGCGTTCTGAAAAATGGTGGTTTTGAGCTCTCACTGTCGTATTTTTAACTGTGTCCTTTGGTGAGGACTTGGTGATGGTTGCTGTGCCAGAGTGATGCCTAAAATGCAAGCTTTGGGTTTTGGCCGCCTCTACTGTGAAAAGTTTGTGTGGGCTCCACACAATTGATTTACACCGTGACTTCTGCTGGGATGTAGTTCTTCCATCTCAGTACCGTAGCTTGACAACTACTATGCAGTAGGCAAGAGACTGACAACAGACTGGCTGTTTCTTGAGCCAAGATTCAACTTTGGCACTCCGAGGAAACAACGCCAACCAGCTACGCTATATCCCAGCAGAGGCGTACTGTATACGAAGTTAGAAAGCTCAAGCCTCTCACATACTAGAGGTAGTAGTATTTCTGTGTAGAGCGTCCGTTTCCTTTCCGACAGAGCATCTCCGTTACCTCTATCCGTTTACCTAACGGTCAGTGCAAAAGTTTTTAGCGTCCCCACTACATAGGTAGATACGCAGCAGGTATTCAGCGCCCTAGCTCGCCAGCTAAGGTAAGGAGCTCGTCAAGACTAGTTGCGAACGCTAACAATGCAATTCGAGCCCACCCGGATAAAGTGCTGTACATTATAGCCCTGGAAAGTTTGTTAGCGTGGTTCTTGCCCCACATTCTCTCAAGGGGGGGGAATTGAAAGGCGGGACAAGTCTATCTACGAGCGCTGATTGGCTGAAATTGCTTGATGTCAAGGTGAGAATCGGCTAACAGAAGGGATTCAAGCACACACACAAACCCGCTTTATACCGGCTCAGACTCGTAGAACCATTGGTTCCATACCCTGTCGCCTTCCCTGTCGAAGACCCCTGTATGTACCGAGCTAACGAACTTTCCAGGGCTCAAGTGTATGTACACCTGTGTGGGGCCATACGAGCTGAGAGCCAAGCTCAGCCAAGACCTTAACTGAAGCTTATACACTATTAAGTTCGCGCCAACTTCGCGACCGCAGGAATTCATTAGCGTACTACACAGTAATGGAGAATTATATCATCTTTAACTACCTAGGTAGGTAAGCAGCTAACGTACGACAACGAGACCCGAGTTCAAGAAGGCGTCGAGCTCTCATTTCACACGCGGGAGCCTCTCGCCAGCCTCCTGCCCCCCCCCCCCCCCCCAAAAAAAAAAAAACCAACCCTAACTGCAACCTTAACCACTACTGTAGTGTAGGTACTGTGGTAGAGGTGACTTTGACCTTGGATCCACACAGGCAGGCCCTTTGGAATCACGCACAGTCGTTTGTCCGGCTTCATTCGAGCTCTTGAGCCACTGCAGAGGTAGCATCATGCCGCGGCGCCAAGCAGTACTCTGCATGAATCTGAAATGATTGATTGGCCACAGCAAGTGTGGATGTGAAGTTACATCTGCATCGTCAAAGGGATGAGTGAGATTTTAGTGGTATCTAGCATCGTGATGTAAGTGAAACCACATTGAGTAAAAAATATAAAGAGAGAAGCGGTATGCCGTCCGTCGGTTCAGTTCGGTTCGGATGCGTGAAAACCAGATATGGATACGTAAGGATTGGGTATCTCTCGGTCGGGAGTCCCCATGTCCAATGTCTTGCCGCTTGAACATCGTTTTTTTTAATGCTTGGCCAATTGTGCGAGCCAATTGACACGGCCTTTACCATACATGTTACACAGTACCTGTGTACTGTAGACCGTCTTTCCCTGTGGTCCTGGGGCAGATCCGTCAAGGGCTTCTGTGGCTGGTGGGATTGAGGCCACGGTACAACAATTCGATACTGGTTGGTTTGTTAGTTTGGTTCTTCAGCCATGGGTTGAACAGGGGAAATCTGGAACTCTCACACTAGCCAGGGTTAAAAACGCCACAAAAGCCTTCTTATGCCTCTCTTCATCTTCAAGCAAGGCCTTCAAACCCCAAAAAGATATAAGACAGCAGTCCCCGACGGCACCCGTCCGCTCAAAAGTGAAATACCCTTCCATCCTAGTAGTACGAGAGTGGAAATAGGCGTTTCTTGTATCAAACCAACAAGCAAACCAGGGTTAAATTGTAAAGTCACTCGTATTTGGTTGAAGACCACAATGCGATCCGTGATGCTCTGGGTCCCTTTCTCTGCCAGGCCCAGGCCATGTCGGTTTGTACCCAACTGTGTCAGGCACTACATCTACACAGTACATGACTCCCTCACATGTGTTGTATGTAGGGCCTTGGAAACGGTTGAAGTCTCCATACATTGCCTCGCAGGTTGTTGCTCGGGCTGAAGCACTTATTGTACCGAGGACGTGGCCGAAGAGTCCTCAATTGAAGGTCTCTTTTGTTAGCATATCTAGACCTTGGGTGGTGATCTGATTTCGCTGTTGGCGATCTAGATGGATTGCAATAGAGGAAGAAAACACAGGATCCAGATGTTCACCAGATGTGATTACATACTCATAATGGTCTAACGCATTATAATACCATTGTGCATTCTCCGAGTCATGAGATCAACTGCCACTGTGCTATGGTAGTCGGTCGAGAATGCAGGTACGCAACGCTGTAACCACAGAATCGGACAGGTTACATCTGTACTGTTTGCTCCTGCTTGGCAATAGGCTTTTGGACGCACGTGGGCTGCTGCTCTTCAATCACAGGCTTTGAGACTTGACGATGGTCTGATCGAACACAACGGGCAAAATGACCAAAGAAAACCCAACAAAACGACTTGATGAGCGAGGAAAGTGCATAGTAAATCATGGTCAACTTAACAGTCCGCCTAGTCGGGGGAAACCGCGGTTGGTTTCGGGTCAATCCTCTGCGCCTTCAGAACTTCACTGAACCAGGTACTTGGCACACAATGATGGTCTGGGCTACCACACATGTCCCAAGGTGTAGTAATCTCTGCCGCGGAGAAATCGCGAGCTTGCAGAAACCATGTTATACCGCGTAAAACGGTTGTCAAACCATATATGCAGGTACTGGTAGAGATCACAGCCCTGGAAGATGAGAGGGGATGAAATTCAATGAGGACTTCGAGAACAAATCTCTCTTATGGGTCAAGCGTCATGTTGTAAACCGAAATGTTCATAGGGAAAGTTCAGTCCAATTCCTGTCCTCTTCCGCTTAATTCCGCGTACCAGGCTGGAACCCAGCTTACGGTGCAGACATCACCCAGATGTTGTGTTCTACTGTATCCAACCATATCCTTGCAGTTGGAACTTTAACGATACCTGCACCGGCGTGCTTATAATAATGGGCGCGCTTATTGTCCATTCCTCCCTTAATCCACGTAGCTCGTAAGGCTAGCGAGCACCGGTGTGATGACCGTCGTGGCTTTACTCCATATTTTCCCTGACGACAGGATTGACAAGTATGAGCTTCATCATTCTGTGTAGGCACGATTTCAATGTCGACGTAACCTTTCAGAAGACATCCTTCTTCGACATTGATAGAAGGGCCTACCGAGCGGGCAATCTCCATGGTAACATCAGGCCTGGTCATATCTTAGACTCGAGGCGTGCCCGGTCCCAACAAACAACCCAGCCATGTTTCTCCCTCGAAACCGGTGGGCGAGGAACAAACCATAGTAAGGCTGGCAACCTTGTGGCAATGCGGATCTGGCGTTAAACACTCGAGCTTGCATCTCATGCGATACTCGATGGCCATCGTCTTGTGTGGCGGTATTTAGCGAGTTTTAGCTGCTTTGAAGGCGTCTTTGCGGGTATAGACCTCGATGTGTCACGCATATCCTGCAAATGGCAAGGAGATGCTGATTGAAACAGCCATGTAACTCGTGCACAGCACTGAGGTGCGATGCATGATGGATTGCCGCCTCACACAACCTTCTCGAAGAGCTTTTGGATGGGTTTCGCGGCCTAGACTTGCGTTAGTCAAGCTTTCACGTCACAAATCTACAGAACGGGACCAGATTTGAGCTACCCACATCGATGAATTTCTCCAAATCCTTATCCAGATTAGCCAGATCGTCGCGTCGCTTTTTGTTGTCGGCAATCAGTTTCTGTTTGCGCTTCTGCAACTCGACCCTTTGCTGCTCAAGTGCTTCTCGCTCGGTTCTCTCATGATTGATGCGCGCCACCATGAGGTCGTTTTCATCGTCATCAGCATGCTCGGGATGTAGAGCTAGGAACTCCTCGACAGGAATCAGAGGAAGCTTTTGATAGGTATGCCTGAAAGGAGTTTTTGTTAGCGAATCACTGTTGCGCAGAACGATAACCAACAATGTTTAGAGGGTACTAACTCAAAGGACTCGCAAGCTGCAATTTCTCCCTCCAGATGCCTTTGTTCGTAGTAGAGATTTTGTAGTTGAAGATGGAGCACGTCGACCTCATGGCGTACCTCTGCTGTTTGACCTTTTGTCTCACGCGCCTTGAAATGAGCAGACCGGTGTAGACCGCGGAGCTGGGCGATATTGGTGTTGAGCAGTTTCTGTTGCTTTGAGATTTCCGCCTGGGCTTCCAAAGGTAGAGGCCCGTTGCCTGCAGCATCAAGAGCTTCTTGGATGCGATCAATGAGAACCACGGCTTGCTCGCGCGCGGCTCTCGACGTGTCAAGAACCGTAACGAGCAGGGGATCGGTGATGGATCCGTCGGCGGCCATGGTAATCGTCAGTATCGTCGTTGTTGTCGGTCGGTTGCGACGGCAACGTTGAAGTTGCTAAAGCTGTGAATGGCACGAATCTCGATAAGAACACGACTCAGCAGGTCCAACTGTCGTGGAAATGTGTAAGCCAAGATTGATTTAAAACAGCCCAGTTTCGACTGACGACAATATTCGAGAGAGGGTGAATGCAATTACCCAGAGTGGTTTAACGGGCAGAGGTTGTGAGGTCGCAGTTTGGTTGATTAGCCACCGTCAATCCTTCTGATTTCGCGGGGAAGATGATGTCGCTTGTGGTTTCTGGATGAAGCCATCTTTGGTCGATCGATTTTCGCCCTGGGCAGTAGAGGCAGGCACGAACAAAAGACACCTAGGCTTGGCGGACACTTCCCGTCGTTCGTTAGTGCGCCTTGGATCAGCGTCACAGGCTCGAAACAGCGCAGCAGAGGTGGGGGTCTGAGCGCGGTAGGGCCGTATTACCGCGACATCATTGGCCAGGAATCTTTACAGGTTTTCCCTGCTTGCGCTAGAACCATGTGCGGTTTAGGCGGTTCTAGGCGTTCCCCTTTCAGGAAGAGAACAAATGGAACTGAATGGTTCCTCCTGACGACCGCCAAATGCACCGCGATGATCGCCGCTCAATGAGATGCAACTGCCCATGAATGGCAGTTTACCAAAATGCCCGGTTTCTCCATTGCCTCTCACCCATCATGGCCCATTTCGACCTGCCTGCGAGAGAGACTTTAGCCTGCAAAAGGAAGACGGAAAAAAGTAAAGAAGAACGAAGGGAAGGTGGGAGAAGTTGTGGCCATTACTACAGGAGCCCATCAAAACAGCACACCCAGCAACGAAAAGAGGCCGGCGGCTGGGCACGCTCGGCGCGCTCTGCGGGCGACTAATAGGATGAGACGGCGAGGGAAAAAGTGGAAGCCTTCCACTTCCCTGGAACTTTTGGGAGTCCGAGCTATTTCTCTTGACCCTTTCCATTCGGTGTCTCCTGTGTCCGTGGTTTCTTCCCGCTTTCCCGTCTTGATCTCCACCCTGGTCTCCTTTCTAAAGTCTTGTTCTCGAAATCTTCTGCGCTGTTGTCTATAAAATCATTCAGAAGTTGCGCTGTCAACTATCACCAGACGGTATTTGCAAAGAAGCGTCGTGCGTCGAGATACCTGCAAGTCAAACCGATTTACCAACCAGATTGCAGTGCGGACCCACGCAAATTTTTGCCTTCTGGAATTCGCTGTCTTGTTTCCTCCGAGCAAATCGAAATCCCCTGAAGCGCGCGAAGCCAGTGGTCAATCGGTACGGCTAGTACGCTTCTGTCGGAACTCAGAGCCCCTCCCGTCCCGACATCCTTCCCACCTCTGTGGCAGACTTTGAACTTCGCCGACTCCTCTGTGTCACCACCCCCAGCTTCCGCTTCCGATACCGTGTCTTGACATCCTTCGTGCTGCACATGATAACAAGCTCACCGGTTGACGCCACGACTGTTCGAATTACAGGCCTGGATCACACAGCGTTTCGGGTAACGACCAGTCCGCACACGGCACTCGCCTCTTGCCAAACCTCGAGTAACCGACCGAACAACCGAACAACCGCACAACCATGGAGTGTGCTTCCCCCTTTTCCTTCGCCGCCCATGATGACAACACCGAGGCTCGGGCCTCGGGCGCGGCCAATGCCCCCGAAAGACCGGCCCTCCGGAATCGCCGGAAATCCCAGCTCAATGCCCGGCGGAAGTCGTTTGTCAACAGTATCGTGGATGGCGAAGAGGCCTTGCTGCTCAAGATGGATGCCTTCCTCGTCGAGCTAGAGAGCCGGCTGGAGTACTGGGAGAACTATGGAGAACTGACTCTCGACTCGTCGATCGAGGTGGCCCTGTCTACGCTGCAGGCCGTACGAACAAGATGTTCTCACGTTTCGGAGGAAGTGATGGGTGCCGGACGCAGACGTCTCCATGTTCTGGTCGAGACCCTAGAGACGAGCTATCACGAAGCCATGGCCGCCGCCGGATCGCTGAACGAAAAGGCCAAGGTCGGCATCGATCTGCTGGACGGGATGCTGGAAGACTTGGAGACCCAGGCCGCCAAGCTTCGTGAAAAGGGACTGGCCAATGCTGCCGAGAGTCTCATGGGCGAGGGCAAGAGAGTTATGGAGGAGGGTATTGAGAGGGCCATGCGTGCTGCCGAGAACCTCGAAGACCATATTCAGCGTGCCATTAATCAGGCGAGGGAGAAGGGCTTGATCAGCTACGAGGAGCTCCCAATCCCGTGGAGGATTAATCCCCATATTCAAAAAGGCTACCGGTTTTCCGAAAACAAGCTGGCCTGCATCAGGTCAGCTTTCACTTTCTCTAACGAGCTGATCAACATCTGGTCCCATGCCATAGGTCTCATTCTCGTCCTGGCTGTTGCTTTCTACTTCTACCCCACCAGCATCAACTTTTCGCAGAGCACCACGACCGACATCGCCATCGCCGCCATCTTCTTTTTCGCGGCTTGCCAATGCCTGGCCTGCAGCGTCATCTGGCATACCATGAACTCCGTCGCCGATGTCAACCTGATCTCCATGTTCGCCTGCGTCGACTACACCGGCATCTCGCTTCTCATCGCTGCTTCCATCATCACCACCGAATACACGGCCTTCTACTGCGAGCCCGTTAGCCGGTGGGTCTACATGATCGCGACAGCTTTCCTTGGTGTCGGCGGTGTCATCCTCCCGTGGCACCCTCGCTTTAACGGGCAGGATATGGCCTGGGTGAGAGTCGCTTTCTACATCGGTCTTTCCGCCAGCGGTTTCCTACCCATCTTCCAGATCTGGCTCACCCGCGGTGGCATGTCGGTGTGGGAGCACTACTCGCCTATACTCGAGTCGCTCTTCGTCTACTTCCTCGGTGCTCTTGTCTACGCCAGCAAGGTCCCTGAGAGGTGGTGCCCCGGCATGTTCGATTATGTTGGCGGCAGCCACAACCTCTGGCACATTGCTGTTCTCGGCGGCATCCTGTTCCACTACAATGCCATGCAAGAGTTCTTTTCAAATGCCTTCAGGCGCGCCCAGGATGCTTGCCCTATGTATTAGGTCGGATGACGGAGGAGAGAAAGGCCCCATAAGTTTCATTGGGGTACTATTAGAATTCAGGTTCTTGCCGTTTTTGGAACGAGAGCGGGCATATTTCCAGTCACATATCGCTACGTCAATGAAGTCTATCGCCACAACAAACGTTTCGCTCCGAATCATACAGAGACAGCGAGTGAAAACAAAGGACGGGGGATGATAGGCGCATTCGCCAACACTCCAAGAACATGACTATCTTGATACTAGGTTTCTCCCATCTCGTCATCTATTCAAAGGTCGGTGAGGCCGCCTTGGCGGCCTAGCCTAGCCGTCATCCCGCCATGGCTCAGTCAACCTTGAACAGTCGACCAGTTCCCTGGAATTCGCCGTGACGGTGGCAGAACGGCAACATCTTGCCCGGCCTGGATGCGGAGATGAAGAATATCTTTGAGGCCAGGAAGCGGAAAATCAGCAGATGAAGGAAGTCGCATAGAGTACGGAGTAGCGCTATTGACGATAGTGATTGTGTCTTGAAAGTAATTTTGGTGCTGAAAAGCACCGACGTACATCAAAGGAAGCGAGGGCAAAGCGATAAAACGGGAACTGAAGAATAATACGGCAACTGGTGCATAACAACAGCATTTAAGGCGCAGCGATACATGGTTTAATTTAGATGTTTATACGAGTTTTGGTGTATATATGAAGCCCGTGGCACAACGAAAGAACTGTGATGAAGGTGTTAATGCCAGTAGACGATCAATCCGGCATGTAGACCGGTTCTATTGAGGGTTTTCTGTTGAGATTTGCTGTACCAACGTTCTATCTGGAGTCATCTCGCTATCCTACGTTCGCTTTGAGCCAATTGCTAGTAAAGGCCTGAGGATCTATACCTCTTTCCCTTACTTTCTTTCCAGCTCCCTTATCCCTTTTGACCTGGGAATCCGCCACATCAACATCATTTTGCTATCTCCATTGTTTCTGAGGACTATGTCATCCTCTGGAAACCGCGACGAGCGTATTCTGCATTGGCCCGCCTCGTGTTGACGTTTGACGCTATATGAGCGGCCATCACCCCCGCGAGCGGGAACTCCGATGGCTTGGGCAGTCAAGAGATGATATATCCACACCCCACACTACACCTTGTATGCAGAACACCTGTTCCCAGGCCGCCAGTCTGTCGGAGTGATAGGTGGATCAAACCAAGCGATTCCAAGTTGTATTAGCAAGGTCAAGCTTGAGAGGACCGCGACTTCAAAATGCCTGCTGCAGAATTGAGGGGAATGCCAATTATCCGTCCCTTTTGCTGTATCTCCGCGGATGGAGTTCGCCCTTTCGGATCTCCAATCAGTCCTCTATCATCCCTTAACTGAACTTACTTCTCGAGTCTGAGAGAAGGCAGGCGCTGCGAGCTCTTTGATCTTGTTTCACAAAGAAAGTTTCGCAAGCCCACGCTAGACGCGCCCACATGATATACTCGGCGCGGCATTTACTGCTTATGCCAGCACTCAGCAACCCGCAAGTAAAAGGCACGAAACCCGGACAGCGGAGAGGCATGGCCGCTTCATCCGATCTTCGCCAGGTAGACTGTAGTCGTAAAGAGCATCACGACACGATTTGTTGTTTGTGCGAGTCAAGTTCGAGTGCAGGTTTACCACGCTTGGTGCCGCTCGACACTTCACGTCCATTTTCGCTCTCTGAAAGTCTTTTAGCGAAGATGCTGCATGCATATGAATTTCTGGAAGTTCCATCACTTGGCATGAACCACGATTTCAGCGTAGACATCGTCGGGTATCATTCGTATCACGGTCAAAGTGGTCCGCTTGATCAAATCAGCCTGAAGGGCAGGGAAAGATCGGAGGAGTTTGTTAGGACTGGGCAAAGACCAGCATGTCAGCATTTGAAAGTCCACTTCAGAAACGAGTTATCGATTGGAAGGATGTCATACCTAGGCGATTCCATGATCTTTGTGCGTATCATGATCAGCTGCGCAACGATGCACAAAATGTTAAGATGCGGACCGTATGCGAAGAGGAAGTCCCACAAGCGTAGGACCTCGGGCAGAGGTGGCGTGCATGCGCACAACGTCAGTACGGAGGGGAATGCATAGATCTCGGCGGAGAGGTTCTTGGACATCAGGTAGAGACTGAGTTTTGGATCCACGATCGATAACACCTTGTCAACCAACGCCAGCCCTTTGTGCACTCCGTCCATTGCGCCGCGAATGTAGCCGGGTAACTCTTGCGTAAGAAGCTGATGGAAGGCGACGAAGGCTTCGGCTTCGCTACGTGCAGCATACAGGAAAGGCGCGGCCAGCACGTTCATTCCTTGTACATAGGTACCCGGTTCAGAGGCGACACCACTGGCCTCGGAGCCTTCAGTGGTCAAGGTCAAGGCACGCGCTCGACTTTTCGATGCCGGCGAGCCAGTGATGCTGTCGTGACCACTAGTTCCCGGACGACTTCCGGGTTCTGATGGCGCCGAGCGTCGCGAAAGACTGACAATGCTATGGTCTCGGGTTCGGTCCCCGCGGACATCGTGTAACCTCCAGGCGACGGCGTTAAGTAATCGAATTAGACTGGCCTCGCTAACGCGGCGTCGAAAGAGAGGATCGGTCGTAAGTGTACGGAAAGTATCATTGCGGATTTTCGAGTAGGCAGGGGATGCGCCGCGATGAATGAGGGAAAGGTAGGTGTCGGTTTCGATGATTGGGGCGTCAAGCAAGATCAGCCATACGTATATGCGAAGGGAGGACTGTTTGGGATTGCTTGTTAGCGGTTGCGCGCGCAAGCCAAAGCGCCTTGATGAAGGCGAGTATGTGTCTCTTACCATGCCGTCGCTATCGGATTTGACGCCCTGATCGAGGATCTTGAGTCGTGTGCTTTCGAGCGCCGTATCAACATCGCCGTTCGGGGGGCCTTCGCGCAACAACTTTTCGAGGGACATAGTGCTGGCAGTGGACGAGCTTGTGCCGCGCATGGCGCGCCTATTTGCGGCTGCCATGGTGCTGTATTGATGGCCTAATGGAATCGGCACAGGCGGGGCGTCACTGTTGGCGCGACCTCTTTGTGGTGTCGATCGATAGTTGAAACTTGCATGTCTAGTATGAGGCGAAGGCAGGCCTGGGAGTAGGCAATGTTGATGTTGGGGCTGCTGCTGCGGTTGACGACGCGGTTGGGATTGCGGTTGCCCCTGGTGTTGCGGTTCCTGGTGCTGTTGCTGCTGCTGTTGTAACTGTAACCTCTGCTGGGAAATTAGGGACGGCTGAGGCAAGGCCTTTGCGCCGAGGCTGTGAGCCGATTGCAATCTCCTGAGCGACCTCTGGCCATTGAGGGTACTACCAACCGACAAAGTCGCAGTTTCATTGCCAGCAGCAGGGGATGGGGGTGGAAGGTGTGGAAGCGGGTGGAACGCACACATCGTCGTTGCCGAGGGGGCGGGTTGTTGTGGAGGCCCTGTCACTGGATTGCCTGGCGCCGTCGACAACAACGGCATCGCGTTTGTGCCTGGATCTCTACCTCTAGCGCTGCCCGAGCTGGTGTTCTTTGTCGATAAGTTCATGGTGTCAAGTCGCAGATCGTGTGGCAAGACACTCTGGTATGGTGCTGAAGCTTATTGCCCGGCAAATAAAGTTGGGATGTAGCGTGGAAGATGTGAAGAGGGGAGTGCGGACGCTGTTTGATTTTCGCCGTGCCTGGTTGCGCCTCGTTCCTACCTTGGCCGGGCAAGGTCTGTTCCAAGATTGCTGTTGGGCGTGCCAGAGAGGTTGGAGTGGTTGGGTGTTGCAGTTCGCAGCGTTGACAAGTTGATGTGGGAAGCGTACCTCCTTATTGGCGACCTGGAACTGGCACCTCAGATGGGCGAGTTACGCACGAAGCACGTTCCACGCAAGGTACCCGACGTATGCCTGGAGTATTTCCCAGCTGAACTGCGGGTGGTTCGCCGATGTGGTGTCACCAACCCAATACTTGAAATTGGGACGCTGGGTGAAGTCTGGGACTACGAGAGCTCTTCAAAATGACTATATGAGGAACCGATAATGTCTGCGCCTTATAGTCGGTATAGGAAAATATGATACCTAGGCCATCATGCCCGCAACGGTTTATAGCAACTATAGTACACTACACTACAAGTAGGCCAAGACGGGGTGGGGTAAGATCCGCGGAGGGCAAGGCCATGGTTTATAATTAGATACATCGATGTTGCTGAAATGGGGCTGTTGTAGTGTACACTAGGTACATGCGTAGCGTAGTTCGTTGGTGATATACACTACACTACATAGGTAGCATGAATATAGCATAGTACATTGTGTTGACCGGTGGGGGTTCGTTATTTGTTCGGGCTTACAGGAACGATGGCCCACCTCGGACGACAGCAGATCAGGCACTTCACCTCCTGTCCTTCTTGTCACAGCAGGGGTGGATGTTTATCTTTGAGGCATCAGTTGTTGAGGCTCTCACCTGTATATCATTTCATTGGTCCTGTCTCGAAGTTCCGTCTTGCCCCAGGCCATCTTGAACCGTGCCAATCGCGAGGGCTGGCTTCGGAGCTTCGTTTTCGTCCAATGCCGGGATGCGCAGGTAATAGCCCTAACCCTGCAAATGCCCCTAAGTTTGCTTCCGACTGACATTCCGCGTGCAGCGTTCCTTACGTTGACAAGTCGCCACCTTATCGGCTTATCGAGCTCGACTTCCTGAACCGGACGGGTGCTAACATGCTATTGGTCAGCACACAGCGGACCGTTCTTGATCCGATAACGTCATCTTGACAGGCGGCGGATGTGAATGAGGCTGCGGATTAACTCTGCTCGGAATTTTAAGCCGAGAGCCCTGGGCTTCCCTCGATTTCTGGCCCAATCCAGCTCACTGTGCGTTGCTGCCAAGTACGAAGCCCTCATGGAGTGAGGTCTGGCCGTACAAGTCACCGCACAATATGATTCAGTACAAGTGTACCAACAATACACCTTGACCGTTGCTCTACACTAGAAAAGAGGTCTTCCTATATCTCTCACATGATAAAATTTATCCTCTTTGTGAATGAACCATCTCCCAACGCAATAGGCTTTGTGATGGAGCTGGGTGAAGGTTCAGGGCGGCCGTTGTTTTTCCCAAGGGCGGAACCAGCCGAGTGGCAATCGTACCTCGAGTATCCATACCTACAAAGACTTGCGCTGTGAAGAACTTCCGACCAGTTGATCACCAGAAGCACACAGAGCTGAATACCAAGCTTGACAATTCAAGGTTTATTAAAATAGTGTTTGTGATGGTTGTCGATTTTGGTTGCGACACATTTTGAAGAAAAAGAAAGGAGAAAGAAAAATCCCCTCTGATGCTTTTGTAAGCAAGTCTTGGGGTTGCGTTGGATGTGGACGATCGGGAGCTAGGCACTTGTCACCGGCACAGAGACGTCCAACGGGAAGCTCACACTCGATCGACAAGCTTTGCGGCTGCAATTGCACCATCGATGGTCAAAGTTGCGTCTTCGCCTCTTGCAGGCGGCCCCTCCTTTCGAGGCTTCCACACAGTGTACTCTTGACATCCAGAACACCCCTAGCTCCGACAAACTCCCATGATCCATCACCATTTCCACCATCGCACATCTCCATGTCTTCACCCATTCTGGCACTTCTGGAAGGTTACATCTTGCATGGTTGTTGCTGATGGCTTCCGTGGGGTGCAGTGCAAGTGTCTCTTCCCGTCGTCTTTTACATCATCCCGCTGTGTGACCATGACATCCGGTGACCGGGGCACATATATACACGTGCGGAAGCCCAACTGCACGCAAAGCTTCCATCCTATCGCATGCCCTATTGGTGGGAAGACGTTCTATATCCACGTATGATTATCAACCGTTTGGTATGCCAAAGCAAGCACTGGTGTGATGAGGCACTGTTATCTCCATGGGAGAGAGATATAGGTCGATGAACATTATGTTAAAATCTCCAAGCAGACCGTCCCATGTGCGGGAGAGCGGGAGCTCCCATAAGCAGAATCCTCCCCGCAAACCTAGCGCGGTGAGAGTTAAGATGACCACTTTCAATCATCTTGATGTCTCAACTACCGGCGTCTCCCTTCTCCCGAATACCGACCGCGGAGACTTGGCAAACAGAAGACCGGTCTCTCCTGAGGTTGGCATGCCAGTTACAACCACTGGTACAGTGGCTGGAGTGGAAATCGGCAGCGGAACCGCGAGCAAAGCGTGTATAACATTTTCGATACTAGAGTTGAAAGGGCAAAGGCCGATCACGTCATCATGGGAGTGCCCACCTTTCTACGCCTCCTGAACTCCGCTTCCCTGCACTTTCTGCCTCTTCTGCAGATGTGAGCGTTAGTAAACAGATTCCGGGCACTTTCCTCCCTGCCTCACCCCGGCCCCCCACACCCCGGTTCCTTGGGTGACGCCGCAATGCCGCCCGTGTCGGCTTTTTCCTAGTGTAGCTTTACTTGCCCTTTTATAATTTTCCATGTTCCTGTTTTTGCTTTCCCTTACACTATTCGAATCATATCTTGTTTAACGGCGGCGGTCTACATCATCTCATCTGGCCCTTTGTTGCCATATCCAGCCTTTGGGCATACCGTATAGAGCGATCTTCAACATCGTCCTAGACTTCTCGACTTCGACTAGTTGCACTTCCTCTCTCAACGAGTCTCCAGCGCAACTATAGACTTTTACATTTTACGACACACATAAACGACGTTATTTTCCCATTGGATATCTTTCCGGATCAAGCATCTTTGAGAACAACCTCCACTCCAACCTTGGTCCATGCAACACATATTTGGCAAGCTAGGATCACCTTGATACAGCCGATACCAGCACGGACTATATCTCGAATCAGTCTGACGGCTTCAGGCATCATCCTCTTGTCAACAATCATCCCCATCGTTCTATTAGAAGGACCAAGCCGTCAACATGTCTACGGCTTGGGGGAAGGCCGGGCGCTTCACAGCTAAAGCACTTGGCATCAAACTCCAAGACAAAGACCCATACGATGAGGTTACTCGGGGCGAGTCCATCGTATCCAACCATACAACCAGTACCTTCGTGGAAGAACCACCTCATACAGTCGAGTTCCTGAGGGAAATTGTCCCTTCTGGACGGCAGTTGGGGGACTACGCTCTTTCCCTCTTCCCCTTCACATCTTGGATTGGTCACTATAACCTACAATGGCTCCTAGGCGACCTTGTAGCCGGTAAGATCACACATCTCTTGTCCATGTGCTTTTCAAATTCAGTATAGCTTACTCCTTGCCCAGGTATTACTATCGGTGCCATTGTCATTCCACAGGGCATGGCCTATGCTCAGCTTGCCAACCTTGAACCCCAGTTTGGTCTATACTCGTCATTCATGGGCGTCTTGATCTACTGGTTCTTTGCTACTTCGAAAGATATTACGATTGGTCCCGTCGCTGTCCTTTCCTCACTGACCGGCGATATCGTTGCCAACGTCATGGCCGAGCTTCCCAACGTTCCGGGCCATGCTATCGCTTCTGCTCTGTCTATCCTCGCCGGCGCTGTTGTGCTCTTCATTGGCCTGATTCGGTGCGGTTGGATTGTCGATATTATCTCGCTTACTTCTCTTTCCGCATTCATGACCGGCTCGGCCCTCAACATTGCCGTCGGACAGCTCCCGACCTTGATGGGCATCAAGGGCTTCTCAACCAGAGATCCGGCGTACCTGGTCTTTATCCACACCTTGCAAGGCTTGCCTCGTACCAAGCTGGATGCTGCAATGGGCTTGACAGCACTGTTCATGCTTTATGGTATCCGGTCGCTTTGCAACTATATTGCCAAGCGTTGGCCGCAACACCAGCGGGTCGCCTTCTTCCTTTCGACATTGAGAACCGTGTTTGTAATTCTCTTGTACACCATGATCAGTTGGTTGGCCAACAAGGACCTTCCTAGAGGAACTTCGAAGTTCAAGATTCTCTTTGACGTTCCCAGAGGTATTTCCCACTCACATATTTTCCATCAATGCACCAGTACTGACTACATTCAACAGGTTTCAAGAATGCTGCTGTTCCTGTGCTCGACAAGACACTCGCAAGCAAGCTCGCTGGTTCTCTTCCTGCCACTGTCATTGTCTTGTTGATCGAGCACATCGCCATTGCAAAGTCGTTCGGCCGTATCAACAACTACACTATCGACCCGTCCCAGGAAATGGTGGCCATTGGTGTCACGAACATGCTGGGCCCCTTCCTTGGTGCCTATGCTGCAACAGGCTCGTTCAGTCGTACCGCCGTCAAGTCTAAGGCGGGCGTGCGTACGCCCTTTGCCGGCGTCATCACTGCCATCGTAGTGTTGCTGGCTATTTACGCGTTACCTGCCGTGTTCTACTACATCCCGAACGCAGCTCTAGCTGCGGTCATTATCCATGCTGTCGGCGATTTGATCACACCCCCCAACACCGTCTACCAGTTCTGGCTCGTCTCGCCCCTCGAAGTTATCATCTTCTTCGTCGGTGTTTTTGTCACCATCTTCTCCACCATAGAGAATGGTATCTACTGCACAGTCTGCCTGTCGTTCGCCGTGCTTCTCTTCCGCATTCTTAAGGCCCAGGGCCGCTTCCTCGGCCGCGTCAAGGTTCACTCCGTTCTTGGCGACCACGTCATCGGCGACGATCCCAGGAAGCCCGTGGATGGAGGTTACGGCACCTTCGCCGGCAGTAGCTCATCAGATGCTCCCTACCGCAACATCTTCCTCCCCCTCACGCACGCGGACGGCTCCAACCCGGAAATTGAACTGGACAACCCTTACCCAGGCATCTTCATCTACCGCTTCTCCGAAGGCTTCAACTACCCCAACGCCAGCCACACACTCGAGTACATGGTCCGGTACATCCACAAGAACACGCGCCGCACCACGCTCTCGCACTTTGACCGGCCCGGCGACCGCCCCTGGAACGACCCCGGCCCCTCCAAACGCAAGCTCAAGGCCGCCACGCGCGCCGGTATCGACTCCAACGAAGTCGGCGTCGACTTGCACCTCCCCACCCTCAAGGCCATCATCCTCGACTTCAGCTCCGTCAACAACATCGACATCACCTCGGTCCAACAGCTCATAGACGTGCGCAACCAGCTCGACCGGTACGCGAGCCCGGACGTCGTCGACTGGCACGTCGCTTGCATCAGCAACCGCTGGACCAAGCGCGCCCTTGTCTCCGCCGGCTTTGGATACCCCTCAACTTTGCCGGACGGCCAGATCCGCAGGTGGAAGTCCATCTTCAGCGTGGCCGAGATAGGGGGCGAGCAGAGCGCTGCTGCCACAGCAGAGCAGGAGGTCAACGAGAAGGAATTCGGCCCTACCTTGTCCTCTCGCGGACGTGCTGCTCAACAACACCAACGTGGCTCGTCGATGGATATCGAATCCGGCTTCAACACCGATGACGCCGAAGCCGCAGGCAACCTCAAGGCCACGGCCTCGGGCTCCGAAAGGATACCCGCTGCTGCTGCCGCCGCTCGCTCGCGGTTCGGCGGTAATGGTGGTGGCCGCACCGTGGCCGTGCACGGCATTAACAGGCCGCTGTTTCACGTCGACTTGACGAGTGCGTTGCAGAGCGCCATCGCCAATGTGGAGGCTAGGGCGGAGTTTACCGCTACCAAGTCTTCTATCAAGGGCATGGAGCATCTTGCTACACCCACGCCTACGTCCCAGAGTCAAGAGAACATTCAGGGCGGCAACACTTCCGATGGATCGGCGACGACGAACTCGAGGTCGACGCCGGGGGCGTCGCTTCCTCCTTATGACATGGTTGATCCTCAGAAGGAAGGCTTGTCATCGGCATGATTTATGGAGCGGATGAGCGGAGTATGCTTTTTCTTTCATTTTTCCTTCTTCTTTAGACGTTTGTTTTGTTCTTTTTTTTCTTGGGTTGTTTTGAGTGTCGAAAAATGATGGTGCATTGAAAGCAAGCGTTGACTGTTAGAATTTATGTCATTCAAGGGGGGGGGGGGGGGGGGGGCGGCAAAATGGGACAGGATTGTATCTAATGTGGCTCGGATCATGGGTTTTCAAGGGGATCATGGGTAGACACCGAACTGGTCTGGATGTTGCTGGCATTTTTGTGGTTCACGGTCTAAAATACCCCTTTGCAGTTGCATGTTTTGGTTTTTATATACCATTATCTTACACCGATATAGAGAGAAAGATATAGAGGACTGTCAGGATATGTGATGATAAACCAGTGCAATATCTACCATGTGTTGCTCCGAGTCATGGCTGGTGGTAATGATTTGAAATAACGGAGAGTTGAGTACTCGCGTCTATCAATCTGAGTAAACCAAGTTCAAGCTTTCCAAAGTCCGTTGCTGTTCGCCTGTTTTTCCGCATACGTCTGGGTGTGAAACTGATGAATTATGATTGCGCAAGAGAGCCAACAAGAAAAAAAAAAGTTAAAAAAAAAAATTTTTTAAAAAAAAAAGAAAAGTTGGAGGCACTACCTCCTATATAGATAGTTCTGCTATCCATAAAAATGGTACATTAAAGCCATGGCAAGCACCCCTCCAATCCACCCTCATGTCTGTCATGTAAAGGATAACGCCATATAATGATACCCCATCCTGCCAGAAATAATGCATTGCACCCACAGCCACATTCACATCCACCGCTCGCTCCTTCCCCACATACCATATACACAACTTCCTCTTTTAAAGTGTCTCCCAGCCACCATTATTGATGTCCCCCTCAAGCTTACGGCTAATGAAGCTCTGAATACCATGGCTGAGCCACAGATTGCGCAACATGGAATCATACCGTTTCTGATGGAGATAAAGCAGCCGTCCGTGACGGAGACCGAGATCCACCTCGCCGTACTTGTCGATGTAGGGCGCGTTGCTGAAGGATCCTGAGAGGCGATGGAGGTAAAAGATGCAGCATCTTCGGATATTGAGGAAGAGACCTATGTTCTTTTGGCACCTGATGAAAAGGAGTAAAAGGTTGGCATTCGACCGAGTAGAATGAAGAGGGGTATATGGGGGGAAAGGGGGCAGTTCAAGTCAAAGCTGAATGTAGAACTTACTTTCTCATGTGTTGCTGGCAACCGCCAATCCTCATGGTTTTGCCTCTGCCTTCCCTATCCTCCACCGCGCAACAGATGCTTTGACCGCAGAACAGATCTCCGCAGAAGAGACAGAGCATAGGGTCAGAAAGGTCCTTGCCCTTGGTAGGACACTTCCTCCGCGTACACTCCTCAATGAGCGTGGCGTAGTTCTTGGGAAGGCCGACAAGCTCGAATATGCCCGGGTGGCTCAGCACTGCCGAAGGCGGCAACAACTTATTGTCGTCAGCGGCGAGGGTTGAATGTTCTGCGTCCCAGCAAGTCTGATGCTCTATCCAGCCAGATACGAGCTGGGAAATTCGCGAGTCCGGCGTGAGGGAAGCTAGCATTGCGTCGAATGAGGGAAGTTTCAGCGTCTCGGTGAGGCGCTCGAGCTCCTTCTGTTCAGGATTGGGCGACACGCGGCTGTTGAAATCGACATTGTACCTTGTGTAAAGCAGGATGGCGCACTTACGAAGGAACGTAAGTGCATAATTCCTGATGAACCGGTACCAACCCTCCCAGCTGTCCAATCCAGGCTGGTCGAACGCCTTGTTCTCCCCAGTAGAGCCTTGGACCCTGTACCTCTCGGAAAAGCCCAAGTCCATCCGTACAACTGTTTCGCAAAATGAAGCGAAGTTAGCCAGTTCAGGCGACATTTCGTCTTTGCGGTCGCTGAAAATCTTTGACATCCACATAGTGGCAGGCATGTTGCGGCCCATGTGGTAAACCACTTTGGTGATCTCGGCAAGGTAGCAAAGCCTCACGATGTGGGCGATTTCAAACCTTTGTGCTGGGACAACGCCAAAGACACATTCGCACAAGAAAACGAAAGGATCTTGGCTGAGAAGGGGAGGATACTCCTGATAAGGTTGTCTGGCGCTGTCGGTTTCGGCATCCTTATATTGTGCGATGAACAGCTGGCAATGCTGACGTTCGCTGTCTCTCCGAAACTCGGTGTCGATCCTGTTGTCTCCAGCCTCTCTGAGTCCGCCTACAGTGATGAAAGTCGTCACTGTCTCAGTCAGAATACGGAGGTGGGTAAGGACTTGCTCAGGAATCTTCTCGAGTAGGGTCATTCCATAGTCCACTTCCACCCCGCGCTGCTGAATTTCAATAGCTGCAATAGAAAAGCCCACCGAGCGAGCAAGAGCATCACTGCAAGCCAGCTCATCATCTCGCACAGTCTCCGGAAGGTCATGGTGCGAGTTGATGCCGTTTTTCCGCAATGTATCTCGAAGACGACGGTACGCAGAGACCAGCTCTCTCATCATGCTGCTCCCTTCGGCAGGAGTAGCCCCTCGGCTGCTAACCTCAGTAGCTGAGATGATCGAGAAGGAGTCACTGAATGGCGTCCCGCTTGACCTTGAACGGGCCCCTAGGTCTACCCAGGCATCGCCAAACAGCTGAGCTGAATCTTCAGCAAGACTGTGGACCATTGTCCTCGACGTGTACGTTGCAAACGAATGCTGGATTTGGTCTGGAGGCCTTGCCGCTCCCAGGACATAATATGCAGAATGCAGCTGTTTGTCCAGCCATGTGTTAAATAACTCACATGGTGATAATGGACCAGGATAGGATTCTTCTTGTCCTTTCCAGACGATGGGGAGGAATGCATTGCCTAAGGCCTTGCACAAGGGGCATACAAACTCCAGCCTATTCGTGTCCTCAGGCGGATGTCTTGCGATCTGCTGATTATGACGGCGTACAGTGGCATCGAAGTATGCTTCAAAGCATCCATAATGCATGATATGGCCGCACCCAGTCGAAACAGGGCCGGAACGAGACAGGTACGATGGGAAGCCTTTGCCAATAACGGAGCGCTCAGCCTCAAATATCTTTCCCTCCTGGTCAACCTTTTGAACAATCTGGCGGTTCTCATGAGCAAGTCCAAAGGGCCGGATACTCTCTGCAGACCTGTCCAAGTTTTCAGGTGTCATGAACGCTTCCCTCACGAAATCCGGATCTTGGAGATCAGTCTGCCGATAAATGTTGCTCTCAGTGAAGAAGGCGAAGGATCCGTAAAGGCGACGATCATCTGTATCTTCCTGGCACAGAATGCATGTTCCTGATGGATACTTCCAAAAGTTTTTATGCTCCTCGGCAGCTGGTATGTCCTCGTCCTCATCGATATCGTCCACATCACCCCAGTTGATTTCTCCTTGCTTCTCCATGAAACTCTTTTGCTGGGCCTGGAACTGTGCCATAACACGAGCTTGACGCGCTAGTGCAGCCTTCTTCTTCTTCTCGCGCTCCTCGTCAGTGTTTTGGCTGTCGGGCAAACCAGCGTCAATATGGTCTACTGAGAGACCAAGGCTATGGTAAGCAGACTCGAACTCATGGGGCCGCTGTTGCCGCATCTTCTTCAGAATCAAGTGGATCTTGGGGTGAATCGTCTTGAAAGCATCTTCGGCGGTAAGGAGGTTCAAGAGTGCCACGATGGTCTTTGCCGTAGGGTTCTCTGGCATGAAGTTGCTGCGTGCCTGGTGACTGAGACAACGAGAGATGAATGACGGTCGCTGACCATCCTCCTCACCCGTTTTATCTTCCTTGATGGCGATCAACACCAGATGCAGGACAACTTGAAGGAAGGTCTCAACTCGAGTCGTGGGCACCTGGGGTGTAAACTTGGAGGATGAGAGAGTGTAGAGCAGGGAATAGTAGATAATCTGCGCGAACATGCCTGTCCGGGTAAAATCAGACAGCCCGGCAAAGACTCCAGAAGTGATTGGACGAAGATTGGGCTCATACACGACATCTTCAATCGACTGCCCAGTCTTCTTAGCCATGCACTTGCGCCATGCCATTTCTGACTCTTCGCGTTGGTTCTTGTTGTAGTGCGCAATGTAAGGATCCACATCCTCAATGAACTCTGGCTTAAGCTCGAATGTGCCAACATCTGTCAGTCCCTCGGGTGCCTTATAGATGGTCATTTCGTCCAACAGCTTGTGGAAGTCCTCGTGTTCGTGAAACTTGTCCGGCAATTTGTTGCAGATTTCCGAAAACGACAACGGTTTAAAGCAAAGGACGTGCGTGAGGTCACGTCGCATGGCCGCGATGAGGGGGCTGGCTTTGAGACGCATGGCCGAGTTGAGGGGCCTAGCTTCATCCTCATCTTGAGTAAGAGATGTACGGTCACTTACGAGGACAACGAGCAGATGAAGCATATCTTCCACAACATCCAAATGTTGACCATCGTCTTGGGCCTTGGACTTTTGTTCAAAGAACCCTTTGATCCACATCTCCATGCCGTAGCGGTCAACGATCGAGGCAAGAACACGGCTTGGGTCGCAGACAACAAGAGCGGTCTGCAATAGAAATACGTCCCTATTGTGAGCAACATCTCTCTGGCTAACACCGCGGTAAGTCCCTCCTTGGTGACGCAAGCTCAACCCATTCCTCACCCACATGCCCGCCTTCATCTGCGCAAGCCAGGCACATACCCTGAGCGGAAAATCAAAGGCCACAAGGAGGTAATCTTCCGGTGTGAAGTTACCGCGAGGCATAGACTTTCGACCCATCGGCTGAGGTTTTGCTAGCAAATCGCAGGTTTCGAAAGTAAGGAGCTTGCGCAGGTCGTCAACGCTCATCGATTTGCCACACTCGATAAGCCACGACAAGGTGTAGTGAAGGGCATGATGAAAGCTGTTAGGTTGCTCTTCTACCACAAAATGGACGACCTTGAAGCTTCGCCCAGTTGGCTCAAACTCAAAATCTGTAAGGTTTCTGAAGGAAATCTCTTCCTTGATTTCTGACTGGTTAAATCGGTGACGTTCAGCACCAAGGGAGTTGATAATGGTAACCTTTGCAGCCAGTCTGATTGCATTGTTGACATATTGCAAACCGTGTTCCTTGACGTTCCGGAAGGATTGGGCGAACTGTCTGCAAAGTCTGTTGATCTCCCGTGTGACAAGAGACGCGCTGATCCAGCTATCTGTCTCATATTCGACGTGTTCGCCGACAGCCCTGACGTTCGGGCAGATACCTTGATGCAACTTGACAAGGTCGAGGAACTGCATCATATATCGCTCCTCTGTCCGAAGGCGTTCCTGAACGTGCGGAGACCCAAAGAGATACTTGAGATCTAAGAAGAAATGATACATGCGCCGGTTCGTAACCGAGCCTGAATCGAAGGACAAGACTGCGTTGCTTGCCACGTCCCAAGGGTGCCCCACTTGACGAGTGGTCAAAAATGTGTATAGAATGGCCATCAGACTGGTAAGGAAATTTCCCCGCTCAACGATTTCAGCAGTGATGGAGGGAGTTGTCAACATCTGTAAGGAGATGTTGATGATGGAGTGATCAGGCTCACGATCGCCGATGAGGTACAACTGAGCCAGAGTGGTGTAAAGGCCAGCAAACCGCAAGCCGAGTACACGTTTAAACTCGGGGATCGTAACGACGGTTGAGATGTATAATGACCGAAGATCACAGCGAACCTTCTTCCACATCCGCAAGTCAAATAATATCAGCCAGTCTAGACGGACTCGCTCGAAAAGGTCTTCGGCAACCGGAATGTTACTTTCCTCCACGTAGCCGGCAGGAGTCTGCAACCAGTAACGTCCAGGGTTCGGAGGCGATGTCTTGGCTTTCGGACTGCCTGGGGTCTTTGGAATGTCGAGGTGGGCCTTGGTGTAGATATTCGGCGCGATGAGCGGCTCGGCGGTATCGGAATCATCAGGAGTGTGCTCGCGTTCCCGAATGGCTCGTCGGTGAGCCGTAGCAGTAGTCGGTGCCGGAGGGGGAGGTGGCGGAAGAGGACGGCCACCAGCAGCGGCCGGGGCTACCTGCACCACCCTTACTTCTCGCCAATCCGTCATGGCAACATCATCCCCGGCTGCGTCGCCTTGTTCGTCAAGCATCATGACATCTTCGTCCCCCTCCTCATCTTCATCCATTTCTCCACCAGAGACAATGATGTCGTCCCCGTCTTCATCGTCTTCATCCCCTTCATCTTCGCCAGCCTCACGAGCCTCTGCCATCCTACGGGCAGCTTGACGTGCCTGAAGCAAAAGCCTGCCTTGCTGCTCGTAGAACCCGCTTGGTACGTTCTCTTCTTGGTCAATACGGTCTTCATCGTCAATGCCATCTTTGCCGACAATGGCATGTGCCGCAGGGCTACCTTTCCTCCAAGGCTTAAGCATTTCCTCGCACACGATGTTTCTCAAAAGCTGATGGTCGTGGCCAACTCGGCAGCCAGAGATATCTCTAAGCCACTCAATTATGGTGCCGCACATTTGCTCTCTGAAGGTATCCCTGGAAGAGCGAATGGTAACGGTAACCCTTATCCTCTCAAGTACCTCGGCTACTTCGAGTAGCTTTTCCAGACTGCTGTCGTACATCAGGATACTCCTACCAATGGCATCGGTCTCGTAAGCAGCTTTCAAGCCATTTGCAAGCGTGGTGTTGCACGCCCGAGCCACTTGGTCACGCACATCGACCACGGTGTGCTTTTCATCATTCCATAGCAGAACGGCATATTCCCCCGGCGAGTCAGTCTCTCCACCGCAGTAGGTTGATGATAACCTCGAGAGCCTCTCATCCTCCTGGATAGACTGAACAGTTTTGGTTTGGCGGAGCTGCTCGGGGGCGCAAGAGATGACGTCGCACATGTAGTCGAAGACGCGGCCGATGGTCATCCTGATATTCCTGACCAGATCCTCTGGAAGTTCTGTCGCTTTTCCCTTGCCCTTATCGCGGTCGCCCTCCCACATCGAATGTATTGTACAGAACATGGGCCGCTTCCACGCTTCCAAATCTCCGCAATCGCAACATCCGCTGTTTCCGGGCGAGATACTGATTCGCACCATATGGCCTGTGTGGTCGGTGGCTTCGAAGCACTTGCTGCACAGGCAGCAGGTGTCGTCTGCGCTACAGGTCTTGCACGCATACGATGCTTCTCCTTGTTTGAATATGTGACCGCAGGCCTTGCCACGCGCGGCTTCGGTGTATTCGGCGCCCTCGACCGCGCCTTGGGCATCCCTGAGCTTGAGAGAAGTGTTTCGTGGATCCCCTTGGGGAAAGAAGAGCTTCATGTATTCGTTTTTCCCACCAGCCATGGACCAGAACAGGGTGAGAAGAAGTTCCCGCGATGCCTCTTCGCTGTAGCGGTATCGGTATTTGCCAGGCATCGCCAGCAAGGCCTGGCAGAGCTGCTGCTCCTGTGTCGACATCTGGGCTTCCATGGTGGAAGAATCGTCGGTGTTCGGGTCTAGGTAGCGCTCGGTATAGACATCCAGGTGGCGTTATCAGGTTCTGAGGCGAAGACTTTGTCGATGTCAGAGTCGTGCATCACAAGTCGTCTAAGGATCGGTGTTTGGGAGGTGGATGCGATGGTGTCGGTGTCTTGAGGGTATGATGATGTTGTTGTTGCGCGAGACAGTAGAATCACTGACGGAGTGTAGCAGTATGTATCCAAGGATCCTATCTGAAGCGTCCACCGCTTGTTTGCGTTCGAAAATCGAGGAGGGTTCCAGACCGGTGACAAGATGGGCGAAAAAAGGGCCTGAGCTGAGAGCGATGACCAGCACGATAGAGGGGATCGCGGGGTAGACGGAGCCAGCGATAGGCAGGCACCCTGGTATTTATTAGCTTTGAATGGTTGGCGCCGCCTCAAAGAATGTGTGGTTCTGTGACGTGGTAGTTGGATTGTTAAAGTGTAGGTAGGTATGTTAGGTTATTCTGGACCTTTCTTCGCCTTCCCGCCCGTCCAATATGATTGTTGGCAGCCGAGGGCAGTCGGACTTTTGAATTTTGGGCCCTGTACCTGAGCGAGCTGGGCTGTTGGCTTGTTGTTGGTACCGAACAGCGGTTACAGGGCAGTTTTCCCTTTTCCGTGGGGCTGGCTTTGAAGACTATCGATTCTAGTTGAGTCAATTAGGTGGCGTTCTGTGACTCGTCGATGGATTGGCTTCTGTCGGTTAACCAACACCGTCAGGACCGTTCCTCCGAGTTCCTTCTGAATTGCAGATCCTGTGGGGGGGTTTTGTCGGGCTTCTATGGCCGCTGTTGATCCATTGCGAGTTCCGTTGGTGCCATTTGGCCTAACACCCAATTCAATACTCGTAGGCATGCCGTCGGAGCAATGTTACCCAGGTAGGTTTGCAGTCCTGATTGCACCGACACTTGAGACTCCATCAAAAGCTCCTACCATCTTTGACCATAGCTCATTCCCATTCATATCTTTACCTATCGACATTTGCGAGACAGATCCTGCAGCGAGCTTCGGTATTTTGCGAACAAAAAGGTGCACTGACGCTCGTAAAGGTACGTCAGTGGGGGGCCGCACTCCGGGCCTTTAAGTAGAGGTAGAGGTAGGTAGAGGGTACTGGGAAGAGTGAAGCCCGGTTCCCTTCTTGATGTACAGTTATGAATGGTACTGCTTATGGTAGGGAGCAACTAAACACTAAGTGTACAACTGGGCCACGCTTACCCTCAGAAGTACGCGTGTGCTTCCGCTATAACCGAGCAACTTGTTACAAACTGAATCTCCCGTCCTGTGTCGTCTGCACCGGGCATATACTGATAGTCATCATTGTGCATTGCACCGTGTTCCTCCCGATGTACCGGTAGAGGTACGGTAGGGACAGAACAAAAAGTTAGGTCATATGTAGAGGTCCCTCGCCGAATAATCACCATGTCGAGTACCAGCCGGCAGGTACCTCTATACTCTACTACCTCTACATACCACATACCACAGGCCACAGTGCCAGCTAACGTAGCTTGCTAGGGGCTGGCGCTTGGTGTGTAAAAATCCATGCCATCCGACCGACCCTCAAAGCCGCTGCGTAAAGACGTCAGATATTGCGAAGGTCAGCTCGAATTGCGCAGTTCATCGAACGCTTCAGCCTGCTACGCAACGCTGGGAAATTTAAAGCAGATATTGCCCACACATACACACGTCCGAAATCCAGGCTGGGCCGTTCGGTTGCCGGGCTTGCTTCATGTTGAGGTTCCTCAGATCCAAAAGCTGGCAGAGATAATTGCTAAATGCTCTTACTCTTCAGCCTCGTAGTCGGGCTATGGTCATTCGTCTATGTGTCTTTCGTCATGGTGAATATTGATTTTGTACAGTACGGTAGTAATAGGGGCTTGGTAGGCAGAAGCGTCAGGAAAAGTCGTCCATTCCTCTAGTAATCAATGGCCGTCGACCACGTCCCACTTTCTCCCAGAGGCTGTCGTCTGATCCTCATCGAGTCGGCGTTTCCATGTCTTGAAAAGTTGCTCCCAAGTCGTCATGTTTACTCCTCAGCCTCGACGTACTTGTGGCGGATGTCCTTCCATTGGCGCTGTTCTCCTCGTCAGCAACTGTTCCACGCCAGTGTCAATTCAGTCGTAGGCTCGTACCCCCTTGTTGATCTTGTCCCAGACCTTGTCCATGCCGTTGTCATAGGCCCTAGATGGTGCGATTGTTCAGCGACACATGATTTCCTGTTATATGTTTATCCGACTGTCGTGGGTACGTACAACTCGAAAGCGAAGGCACCAGCGAAGACAGCACCGACAAAGGCGGTGTTCCTGCGGAAGATGAGGCTGGGGTGTAGGTTAGCTATCGGTGCTCGATTTGGCTTTGGGCCGGGCAATGGGGTCGGGGCCGGTGCCGGGCCGATGGGGGTGGGAGGCGTGTGAGCATGCGCTCGGCGTTGCGGGGATACTTGCTTGTACAAAGCGGACTAAATTGGGAATGCGCGATTAGCATTGGCACGTTCTGAACCGACGTGAGGGCGGATAGATGCTCACCATTTTGGCAGATTTACCGAGGCTGTAAACGGTGGTTCAGCTGCGTCTCTGACGGTGACGTTGTGCGGGAGATGGGCGTCGCGAGCAATCACGATGTTTTTCGTTGCACTGGACAAAACCGACCCAGCGGAACCTAGAAGATCGCAGATGTCGCCGGCCGGAACCATCCGGAGCAAATGCAGCTCCCCTGATTGGTCGAAGCTATGACCCACTTTCTCCAAGTGCCTCCAAGGCTGCTGGCACCTCTCACAAGCGTGCCAAGCTGCAAGCGGGATCAACCTCGAAACTACAACGTCGTCCTCATTTTCCAATCTCTTACTTCTTTCTACAAGCTTACCGATTGACGTGTCCGACGGATGCGCATCAAACTGTGCGCATTACGAAAGCAACAATCTCGACACGCGAGTTTTAAGCTCCGGCGAATCAACCATTAAATATTTATACGAAACTCACTACTTCCGAGTCGTCGAACGGCATCGCCGTAACCCTAGCCGAACCCCTCATCGAACATCAACAATCCCACCACCATCTTGAACCATGTCTCAGCCAACAAACTCCGGCATCATAACTGACAAAAACGGCGAGCGTGTCATCCCAGAGTCTAAGAGAGCCGACGGGAGTACCAGAAAAGCTATCAAAGTCCGCCCCGGCTACCGCCCGCCTGAGGATGTCGAGGTGTACAAGAACCGCACCGCCGAGGGCTTTCGCCAGCGCGGCAAAGGCCCAGTGCCGGGCGCAGAGGGATTGAAGGAGGACAGGTCGGACCAGCAGCTCAGTGCGGCGACTAACAAAAACGCCAAACGTCGGGAAGCGCGCAAAAAAGCCAAGGCTGCTGGCGAAACAGAAGGCGTGGATCAGAACACAGCTGTTGCAGCGGTGCCTGCACTCAAGCCAGAAGAGCTCGACCCGGAAGCCGAGAAGGAGAAGAAGGCCCGGAATTTAAAGAAGAAGCTTCGCCAGGCCAAGGAGCTGAAGGACAAGAAGGATGGTGGAGAGTCGTTGTTGCCTGAACAGATCGCCAAGGTTATCAAGATCAACGAACTCATCCGGGAATTGGATGCCCTTGGTTTCGACTCTGAAGGGGAGCCAAAGACCGCAAAGGCTTCGTCTGAACCAAAAGAGGACTCCACCTGAAGCAGGAAAGTGACGATCGAGGATAAAGATCATTAGCATTCAGGTCCTGGCCGGCAATTGCCATGGCCAAGTTACAGGGACACTGCTCCGCCGGTTCAGTTGATACGCCACACTCGATTCACGACGATCTCTGAACAATCCTTCAGCATGAGCCTAAACCGGGAAGCCTCTCGACACTTTTTGCCACTGCATGCCGACCTTTGAGCCTTCTGCCGCTCCGCGCGCCCGCGTCGAGGGCCTGGGGGGTATGGGATAGCTGTATGAATATGTCATGACGGCAAGTGCTGCCGCCTTGAACGTTGGGATCGGGTAAAGGCGAATTATCCAAGGAGACCGTGGAGATGAAAGGGACGACGACGACGATAACGAGTAATGGCTTCGAATGCTGCTGGATGTTCAGGGTCTGTATAGTCAATCTACAGTTCCAAGACGAGAGAGATGTCCTGCCCTGGAGGGAAGGTAGGGTCAGATAACAGGGAGGCAACGGCCTGGCGAAAGTCACGTTAAGCGTCTAACAGCAACTTAGAAATATGCGCCTGTACATGTAATGTCAACTCTGACAGCGAATTTCGCCCAATGGCCGTCAAAAGAAAGGTTTGGGTATAGTTCTATTGTAGAGGCGTTTGGCCAGAAATATAAAAAGAAGCTAGCTTTCTGTCCCTCTTTTTCCAAGGTCTCCTCCAAGGTCCGGCGTCACGATGCATCATGGATGGCACTTCCTCATTGAGATGAGAAGACGAAAAGAAATAATAGTCATTCTCTGAACTGGAGGAGGTCTACAGCATAGGTACGGTCACTATTACGAGTGTGGCATATAAACATCCTTGGCGCTATATGCGTGGTGAGCCCGGTGGGAAAAGTTGGGCTTATATAGTGGGTTCGAAGGTCACAAAGGAAGGAGTGAGGCGGATCTGGAAAGAGCGAAAATAAGATTTAAGCAGGAAGCAAGAGGTAAACTACCAGTAGAGAAAAGTCTTTGACTCCAAACAGCGTAATGATATAGAACGTTGAAAAAGACGAACCTGGCTGTTCCACTTCAAGAAAATGTTGTAATCGAATTCATTGTACAGGATGATTAGGGAAAGAAACCCTATGCATGCCCTGTTATTTGACCCTCCCACTCCAGCGTGATCAAAAGTGTCGTCTAGAAAGACTGTACACTTCTTCGAGCCCGCTCATCGAGGCAACCCTTCTCTCCAAATATGATGTTCACTTCCGAGAATACGATGAACCATACATAGCCTTGACATGACGACAATGATAGCAAAGCGGATTCAATACTTCATTCAAACATGGCATCTAGGACGGGTTGCTATAATGGGTATCATTCTTTTTGTTCTTGAACAATGTCTTGTTATACAGCTCTTCGTACATGATTTCGTGCCAGGCCGTCCATCCTCGTTCATGCCGGAGACTTCATGCTGCCATCACTTGAAGGGTTTTCGGCCACAAAGGTCCGGGGAATCAAGCCCTCAGCCATTCTAATAGCACCTTCCATATCATTCTTGTTGAACTGGAACAGACCCTGAATAGCCGCCGTCGAGGTATGTCTCTTGGGGGCGTCGGGGTCCTGGTTGTTCTCGCCAAAGAGTCCGAGCTCATCTAGCCTGTTGAGGAACCTTTCGCGGCCGGAATGGTCTGCGTCAATGTCACCATAGTAGCGATCCCACATCTCGGCAGCCTGGTGCCTGGTTGCCTCGCCAATGCGCATCATCATGTCGACACGGCCAGGGCGGATCAGGGCCGGGTCCAAGCGATCGATGTGGTTGGTGGTGAGGAAGGCTATCCGGTTTTCGCCGGCAGCCAAACCGTCTAGGGCATTGAGAAGACCGGAAAATGTCACTGTGGCGCCGCTGTAGCCATCAGAATCCCTCGGTCTCCGGTTGACGAGCGCGGCGTCGACGTCTTCCAGAACCAAAATGCTCTTCTCGGGCTGCTGGGTCAACAGGTGAGCCAGCAAATCATCCGTGATGCCGACCTCGCTGAGGTTGATCATGGCAACGCTGTAATCCAACTCGCCCGCGAGCGCCTGGATAAAGGACGTTTTCCCAGTACCGGGCGGGCCATAGAGAAGGTAGCCACGACGGTAGGGCACGCCTCTGTCGGTGTACCACTGCTGAGCCGCCAAGAACTCCTTCACATCGTCTACGATGCTCTCTTTAACGCCCTTGTCGAGAATGACGCTACCAAGAGGCCGCTTAAGCCTGGGCTTGCCCAATGGCATCCACTCCATGCGCTTCGCCGTGTAGACGACCGTCTTGCCTTCGTGGAAGCGGTGCGCCATCTGGTGCGCCTCTGTAAAGATCTCGCCCAGCACATGTCGGTGCGGCCACAAGAGGGTGAGGGTCAGCGTCTCGTGCGGCTCGCCAGTTGCCGTCTGAGTCGTGCTCGCCTTCTCCCGGTTCACGGCGATGTACACGCCGGGTTTGTGCCGGATGATGTGGCGGCCAAAGCCGGGTTGCACGCGGAAATCTGCATGCGAGCTCCCTTCGTCCTTGCCGGGGTTGATAGACTTGGTGGTGGTAGAGACGGAGAGGTTGCGGAGCCGCGTCAGTCGCTGGGCGATGAAGCCGGTGTTGTCTCGCGGCAGCGCCAGCCAGGCAAGGACCCAGTTATAGGAAGGATCACGCTTGCTGATCTCGACATTGACCAGCATCTGACGTTTCAGTAATCCGGCACCACGGATGGCAGCCCGGCGACCAAAGGCGGCAGCGGCGCCAAGGCCGGCGAGGCCCATACCACCGGCGAAAACGGGATTGTTGAAGAGCACATCGAGGTTGAGAATTGATCCCGCTGTAAGCGGGGTTTGCGGATCGGTCGACATTGTGGTCGAAGTTCTCTATTCTACATGGCTTTGCGGAAGAGGTTGAAGGCCGAAATGGGTCGGCAAGAATTGAGAGGGCTCCGGGTCGGATGAGGTCTGGGATAAGGTGGAATTCATCCGAATTTGGTTAATGTTCGACGTTTAGCTCGCCGGGAGCCATGCCGACAATTGAAAATTTAAGTGGGTCCGACAGTACGGTTCTTGCCGGGCTGCCGGTAGATTCCCAAGAGGGACGCTACAGTATCGGAACGAAGGTAATCCAATAACTCGGTGTTCCTCGCCGTGATCTCCAACGCAATGGGACATCCGGAAGCTCACCTTTGGGCCATGTACAGCAACAAATACACATGACTCTGAGCCTCAATGCACCCTTTTAAATGTCATAAGAAATGAAGAGAACAGAACCTGGAAGCGGATCGGCATGCGGTCCCCTTCCGGGTATCCTAACATGCAATTCAATGACAGATTCTTTATTATACATGACATGTACACGACCGCCAGCCCATTGCTGCCAGCCAGGCTGTGACGGCTCCCCATCCAGTTCTGTCCCCAAGACCAGCTGCACTCGCTTAACCCAAACGTCTGGGCTTCTTGCTCCTTGTACCACCGAACTTGAGGCGTGTGGCATCGCTGACACGTACGATGGAGCTGCGCAACATCCTTCCTTCATTTCCAAGCAGGACCTTGATGACCGCCTCTCTGCCAGGGCCGAATCCTCGTAAGACCACCTCCATCTTCTTGATCTTATTGTGCAGGTTCATCTGATGCATCTTGTCTACCACGTAGGCGCCCAACTGATATGCCGAGTCGTAGTGTTTGCGATTAGACTTCTTGAAGCCAAGGTTGCCGCACGAAAGGGATATGAGAGCGTCGCGATTCGGCTTGGTGACGGTAATGTGAGTGTTGTGCTTGTGCGAGTAGATGTGGAAGTGGTATGGCTCGTCCTCGGTATCCCTCAATCCGATGTTGGTTGCAAGCTTGTCACCGGTCAAATCGGTGGGATCTGCGGCCATGCCGACAATGCCCCGAGTCAAAGACTCCATCAACTTGGCTGAGCTTTCGGAGTCGGCGTCCCTCCTTGCGGCGGTCTGTGAGAACGCCCGCGTCCATAGTGGCGTGGCGCTGGGGAAAACGGGCTTGTTGAAGGCCTGGAAGAGGTTCTGCGCCAGAAGGCGGCCGGTAGAGAAGCGGCTCATCTTTGCTGGCCAAATGCTCCTCGGAGCTGTCGCGACGGTGGGGTGGACGACAAAGGAAATGTGACCTTGAATGAGCGGGTGGAAGAGCAGTTGGCGCACACAATGCCGGAGTTGGGGGAAGCGAGTCGCACAGGTAGTGGAGAGGCCGTGGCTCCGTGGTACGCGGTGCGCGTGCGAATGCCGTGAGTGGGTGGCTCCCGTCCCGTTCGCCGACCGGAAGTTCAAAGGTCCTCGAAATTTTGAGTGGATGGCCGCGGGGCAGGCAACGCAAGCGGCAGCGCTGCAGAACCAAGGGCGACCATGAGACCGGTCGGCGGTGGGGCAGGAAGTGGTGAAAAAAATGGGGGGCGTCACTAACTACACGCTTGTCTTTTACTAGCAACCCCACCACACTACACCAACCACACCACATTACACCATACTTTCTAGAGTGCTGAGCTCGTCGTCGTCGTCGCATTTGAAGCTATCTATAGATTTATCGTTCAAATTGATCTTTATCTTCCTTATTGTCGTCGTTGTCGTTTTTCTTAGGAAGCTTCTCGCGCGCTACTATTCGACCTCCATTTTCAATTACGTTTTTATACCTTTGTTGGACCGATTGTATCTAGTCGTTGATAGTATTTTGATTTAATTCCTCCCAACCCTCCCTCGCTCTCTTAAATAATTCGTTAAATGTATTTGAGAATTTCGCCGTTGCATAAACGTATTAGTTCGGCTTCCTCTAATAGTTTTTAATAGGGGATAAATTAGGGGAGTAAGGGGGGTTGAAGAAGTATTGTAATCCTACGTCTCTCTTCTACCGTTTGATAATAAAATGGCGAGAAAACCACAACAATAACACCAACACTACCACGACTAGCACGATATATAAGGACCGTAGTTCTTAGCTATCTAATTAAATAGAGTAGTAAGTGATTTTTAAGTCTTTTCGGATAGTTAAGATGGGAGGTATTAAGTTAAATACGACTTATTAGAGTTACGTATTTATTAAATGGCTTAATATTCAGTTTTCGCCGGAAAATGAGGGTAAGTATCGGATCTTTCGGCATCTTTCTTTCGGACGTAAACAGGGATACGAATAAACATTTCCCTAAGAAGGATAAAGGATTACTTAATATATTAAATAAATAAAGATAAATAATTAGCGACTATTAAAAATTAATTTTATATAATTAAGAATTACTAAAGAGCTAGAAAAAACTAATTATTTAATTTAATGAAAAATTAATATTTTATTCATCTCCTATCCTATTTCCTTATATTCGATCTCCTTCTTTTTCTATTCTTTTTCTACACTAACTGTCTAAGTTTGTTTAATTTAGAAAGTACTTCCCTAATCCTATATACTTTAAAAATTTTTAAAAAAAATCACTACTAAAAACTAATATATATATTCCTATATACTACCCCAAATCAAATCTTCCCTTTAAATCTATAATAAATCCCCTAAATAGACTCACCTTTACATACATATATATATATAATTAGTACCTTCTTTTATTATTTCTATTACCCCTATATCCTCTCTTACCTTTCGCAATCAAATATTTTTTTCTAACGCCTTTAATAAAGAAATAGTTATTTATTCTCCAAATAATATTATTCTAGGTCGTTCTAATAAATTATAAAAGTCCCTATAATTTTAAATGAATATTTAAATTAAATCTTTCCTTAAATTCTATTTTAATTTGGGAAGGGTCATTAGGATTGTATTTAGGAAGGTTATCCAAATTATACTTTATATAGCGAATAGAATAGACTAAAGAATTTACTATAAATTTATAGGAATTAAAATTAAATAGTACTATTATCTATTATTAATTAATTATTAGACTTTAACTAGTAATAGGAATTTTTCTAGCTAAATAAAAGCTTTCAAATTTAAATACTAGGGATAATCCTTACCGTAATATAAGTATAGGGTTTAATAGTATACGTTTGTATTAAAAGGAATTAGAGGGAGTAAATGGGTTCGAAGGTTTCCTAAAATTTAAAGGGATTAATAATTAATTAATCTTCCTTATTTAAATAAATATTTATACTAAACTTATAGGTAATCCTAAGGCACTTAGTAGACTAATATTTCTTAGAACTAATAGAATTCTATTTTTTAATAATAGTTTAAGAGTTCCTATATTTCTTAATAGAAGAGGAATTTATAACTATATACAATTTATTAGAGTATTAATAGAAAGAGCCTCAATTTCCCTAGGAGGGTTGGATATAATTAGTATTAGGCTATAGCATATTTAATTATTAATAATTAATTAAATAGAAGCGTTTCGTCTCCTAATTAAGTAAGGATTAAAAAGTAACGATACTATTAGACGAAATAAAATTGGAGTAGAGGCCGGTTAATTTATTATCTTTAAACTTTGAAAATGAATTATAATTTATTAAGGCGGAATTGGGGTTAGAATTAAATTTCGGGAAGAATTTAAGGGTAAATAAATATTGCTTAAAGAAGAAGTTAATCTTCTAACCTCTTTTTATTATACTATAAAAGTAAGAGAGGAAAAATTAAATAATAAAAAACTAAATAATGAAGAACTTTCGTTATTATTTTCCTTAATAAATTTAATTAATATATATTAAAATAGAGGAAAGTTAATTATAGTATTAAGACTATTATATAATTAGTAGCGAGGAAAGATTTCTATACTTCCGAGCCTTTATAATCGGTTCTTTTCAATTTAAATAATATAATTTTTAAGCTATATAAAATATTAGGGCTTTTCTCTAGTACCGTATATATATTTACTTTATTAGGAGAGGATATTATTGGATCTACTATTTACTATAAATAATACTTCCTTTAAAGGATTCTTAAATAGGCCTTTAAATTACTATTACTTTATCCGTAAAGTATTATAAATTATTCTTTAATACTATTGTACTATAACGTTCTCTCTCTATTTTTATTTAAATATTGTATACTTTTTTAATATTATATTCTATTTCTAAGTTTTGGGTATAAGTATTTAAAAGTTTGGATTATATTCTATTAGTCTTATTCGTACAATTTCTATTACTATTAATCTACAAATCTAATTAGATTTTTAGGTAATAAAATCGATTTAACAAATAAGAAGGCCTAAGTTAGATTTTATTACCCCCCAAATGTTAAATCTTTAAAATAATAAAATTAAAATTAACTCTATATTCTTTAGTATAGAACTATATAAATTAAAATTATAATAATCCTATTAACCTACTAATTAATTAAAGATAATTACTAAGAAATATATATTTTATAGGTAGATAGGAATTACCTAAAACCTTTTTTCCTTTATAGGTAATTTAATATCGTTCGAATTAATTGTATATTTTAAAATTTTATTAATGTTATTTAATTGAGTATATTTATTTAATACGAAGATTATTCTAGACCCCTTTCTAATTACTTATAAAAATAGGGCAATTAAATTATTAGTATAAGTAAAGGTATATTTGTTGATACTATACTAAAAGTTAGCTAGGCGTACCGTAAGTCGCTTTTAATTATAAAAACTATTTTTATTTAATAGGAAGGCGCTTACTTAATTAAATTGCAATTTAGAGCAGAAGAATTTACTAAATAGTTTATTAGTATCCAATTCGTTATAAGGTAAATTAAAATCAAAGCGCTAATTTAATTAAGTATTATTTAATTAGAGATAATTAAGAGGTATATACCTATTCTTTGACTTCGGATTTCGAGGGGGGTTAAGATATATTTTATAAACCTTATACTTATTATTATACTTTAATATCCAATTACGTAATTAATTTATTCTTATAATACTCAACTATTTATTAATTATTTTTAATAAATTAGGGAAGAATTCCTAATAATTCTAAATATACTAATTAATAAAGTTTTAAAATATAGTCTTTAATAATTGGGGTATAGTATTAGTATTTAATTAAAGTATTCAATTAATAATATTCTAATTAAGCATTATTTTAAAAACTTCCTAAGTTTATTTAAATTAGAAGTTTAATAATAGTATAATTACTTATTTATTAAATTAATTAAGGATTGGCACTCTACTATACCCTTATAAAAGTTAAAGGCTACGAATAGGAGTAGGCTATTAGAGTTGTCTATTATTAATATTACTAGATTTTACTATTTTAATTAGGTTTAAAACAGTCTAAGGTTTTTTACCTTTAGCCTTATTAGATTTATTTATATTATTATTATTTAAAATAGCCTAAACCTTATTATAGAAAGAAGTACAGTTATTAAAAAATATATTAATAAAGTAATACTATAAGTAATTAATCTATAGGTATTAGAGGAAGAAAAAGCTGAGGTTGATATCTAATATTTTAAAATATATTGAACTATATATAGTGAAAGAATTAATAATATAGGTTATACTAAATTAAAATTACTTTAATAGAAAAGAAAAAGTTTTAAAAATTTTTAGGCTTTTTAATATTATTATTATAAGGAGAAGAAAAGGAAGGTAGGGAAAAAGTTAGAGGAAGAGGGTATTATATAGATAGTTCGTAAATTATCCAACTATTAAATTTAAATATTAGAAATATCTTTTCGAAACTATTACTCGCTTAGCTAGTAGTACAATACTTAACCTTATAGTATTTACTTCTAATATAGTCGATTTATCCTTTCTTTTAAAACGAATACTTAAGCAATAAAAGTAATAAATTATAAAGGTTTAAGGTAATAGGAATTTTTTATTTTTTCTTTTTCTAACGGTTATAGTAACTTTAATAATTACTTAGAACGGTAAAGTTTCTCTAAGTAATTACTTTCTCCTAAAATAGTAAATAATAAATTAAGTATTAATAATAATCTACTATTAGAGTATAAAAACTTGCTTCCCTCGGTCGGATTTCCCTTCTTACCTCCTTCCTTTTCCAATTAATTCCCTATTATTCTATTAATTTTCTTCTTTCTATATTAAATACCTATTATTAAAATATTTATTTATAATTCTAATTAATTTTAAAAACGCGTAAATCCCGTACAATTTCTTCCTCCCGCTATTATTAATTAGCTAATTAATATTCGTTAGAATGCTTATAAATATAATATTTATCGGCCGTAGTATAATAATATTTTTAAACTAATCTATCCCTATTCTATTTCTTATTAAATTTAATATAACGATCGCTCTAAAGTTTATAAATTTCTCTATTTACGAGTCTAGTAATAGATTAGGCTAGGACCTTTACTTATAAATACTATTTAGGGAGTTTATATATTAATAGAGGGTATAAAATTAGTTATTATTTATCTAAGAATCTATATTATATTCTACCCTCCTAAAGTATTATATTTTATTCTTTTATAGGGATTCCCTAA